CATTTATATCATTTTTAGCCTTTTTTAGTTTGTGTGACAAGCCAGCAAAAATCAATGTGCAAACGTGATGACTTTGCTTGTCCCCAACTGTAACAACCCCCACAGTTGTGAGTTTGTTTTGGGCCTGTGATCCTTCGCAGTGGATAGCTGATGTTGCTGGATTTGTCAGGCCTTATTGTGTACAACGCATATGATTGGATGGGTAATGTTGTACATGTAACACTGGGTGGTGAGCTATACACCTCTGTGACATTGACTTGACTGACAGACCATGCAAGTCATCATGATCGCTTGGTTACATGCCATGTATCAGCAATCCAGAAATGTGCTGATATGTCTCGTCATCATCTTTGTGGCCATCAGTATTGCCAATGCAGCAATGGGCATAATAATGATGATGCAGGTGTCAGTGGGTAAGCTTTAATTATGTATGAAACATTTAAGTGCATCAGGCTCATTTGAGAAATATCAGAGGAAATCATTCTCTCCGGTACCCATCAGTGCATGTTTGACTATGGAGGAGATTCCATATTTCTTGCTTCCATGATGTGGATACTTGGGACTGTATGGGAGGTCCTTGCACTGTGTCTTGTGGTCTGGATTGCTGTAAAGCACTTCCGTGAACTGCGACAACACTCAACAAGAGGGATTATCAGTGACTGTTTCATGGTGTTAATGCAAACTCATGTTAGTTACTTTGCAAGGTGCACTCATAATGCGAATGTGGTTCTCTTGTTCTGCTGACATTTTGCACGTTCTAGTTTTTTGGCTGTCTCTTGCTTCAAGATCGGTTTACTCTCTCTGATGCTCTCAGTGGTATGCTGATCTGTCACTGCCCTCTACATGCAACCATGGTTCATCATTTCTGTAGGACATATATTCTTTGGACATTGAGATTTACCTTGGTCTTGCTGTGATGTTCCAATTTGTAGAGTTGTTTGTGCTGGGACCACACCTGATCCTCGGTGTTCAAGAATATCATGCTGAGCTCGTGGCCAACTCTGATACAGCAACTGCTATGGCTTCAATTGCTTTTCAGGAGCACATTCATGTGTCAACTAGCAGTAGTGTGTAGCACAGGAGATGCTCAGTATGATTGATTTCCAATGGGGGCTGGTAGTATGCAGGGAGCGGGAGATTTTGTTTTTCTTATTCCAGATTTTGTACTTATTTATGTACAAGGACTCCCCTTCAGTCGGCTTTTGTATGATCAGGCAGGCACGCACAGTAGTGATACATCCTGATTACAGTAATAAGTTAGGAAATACCACATTAGCACAGTCTTGTCTCTCACTTGCCATGAAAGCTGTGAACTGTGGATCACCCATGGTCTGAACTGCAGTGTTGAGAGTCAAGATTCAAATGCTATTCCATAGCATCAATGACTTGACTGATGCTGCAAGAGTGGCAGTTTCTCCTGCTCCTCTGATGATAGGTCCTGCTTGTTGACAATCTCCTAAACATATGAAAGTGATTCCTCTGAAAGGTATTGTCAGATGATTGCAGATTGTATGGCAAAGTTCATCGACACTTTCCCACCCAGCTCTGTTCATAGCAGGGAGTTCATCCCAGATGATTGCTGTCATGTTTCAGATGAGATCTGCATGAGAGTGAGGGTGAATGGAACTGTGCAAATTGGCATTATCATCCATTACTGGGATGCCAAACATGTGGTGTGCTGTGTGTCCATGATTGTATGCAGTGGCACATAACACATTGCTTCCAACAATAAGAACAATTTGTTCTTGGGTGCATAATATTGTGCAGAGTGCTTTCACCAAAAACGTTTTCCCTTGACCTGGACATCCTTCAATGAAGAAGAAGTTGTTTCTGTTCTGGACTATGCTCTCTAAAATGCAGTTGAGAGTGTTTTGTTGCTCTCCATTCAATTGATCACCCATGTTATTGTCTCTGCATGTTCTCACTCTCGATAATGCAGTATATAGTTGTCCATGAGCAAAGGGATCTGTTTGCAAGTTGAGCACAGTTCATGCTAGCATCAGTCCTTGACAACCATTAAACATAGTTGTATACATCAGCAAATCCCTAAGTTAAGGTCCCCCCTTTTACAGCACTACATGATACCACACAGTGCCACACAGCACCATACAGCACTGTAAAAGGGGGGACCTTAACTTAGGATTTTGCTGATGTATGTGAGTTGAAGAGGAAATCATCTTTGATTCACTGTCCAGCTTGAACAGTTTGGATGGAATGAAAAGTTAATGTGGGGAATGCAGTGGCTTTCCAATGTGTTGAGAAGTTGGACTTTGACAAACCGACAATGTAGTGCAATCACATGCACGCACGCATTTCTGACCAATCCCTTTTCTACCAAGAGGTTTCATTGAATGGCGCAAATGCTGTTTTCTTTGAGGTCTAAGTGATGAGGAGGTACTCTAGGATGGGTCAACATTGTGAGATAGTCAGGAGTCTGTTCAGGTGCATTTAAAGGTGTGTGGTTGGCTTCCTTGAGGCTGTCTGAACTGAAATAAGATCCTATGTCTTGTCAGTGCTAAGCATGCATGACATCACTGTGGATTACTCACAAAAATCACTTGGCAAATTTTCCAGAATCTTGTCATTGAATTCATCAACATAGATATTGAGAGGGGAGAGGAATGTGTGCTGAAGACATGTCTCCGCATCTTGAAGCACATGTGGGGGGAAGAGGAAGTCAATAGTATCATTGAAATCTGTCGTGGCTGCTATGAGTGCAAGATTCTGTCAATTTCTGGAACAGTCTTCACTGATGCCTTCAAATTCTGCTTGGTTATTGTGTAGATAACATTGTTCATTGTAGACTTTGACAGAATGTCTGGGAGGGGATGGAAGGCCAAAGTCAGCGAGGTGTTTTCCTGAATGAGATAGTAGATCATCAATAATTTGCAGGCAGAATTCATAACCATTGGCTTCATTGCCAAGTCACTGAATGTGGTCCATGGATAGCATCTCTCGAAATTCCATCCACAATGGCATTGCTGGATAGCCTTCAATTACAATCTGCAAGAATGGAAATTGTAGTTGAGCAGGGGTGCAGTGAGATTCAATGGCCTTGCATAGTGCAAGATATCCTTCATTTTGGTTGTCAAACAAATCAAAGTCAGATGCTGCTTCATAGAAAGTATCAAAAGTGTGCCCTTGAATTATTCGAAGGTCAATGAATGATACTGCAGGTCAATGGAGAAGTAGAGCTCACAGATAGAAAAGCTCTCCAGACTGGATTGGTACAGTTTGGATTTGAGCTACTGTCATATCCGCATATCCGGATCTCAGATCCAATCCACATCTTATCTCCGATCCTATCCACATCTTATCTCCCTCCAACATCTCATTATCCATTCTGTCCACTTGTCCGGTCCAGTCCACAATTCATCCAAATCCACAACCAGTGCTCATCTCCTTTTGGTAGTCCCCTAACTCTGGTAATTTGGTTATTGGTATATCTGTCCTGCTCACTGATCTGTTACCTATGCTTAATTTCTGTTTCATTATTTGTGATCTGTTTCTACTTACCAATAGAATATCCATATGCTTCGTACATAGCCTCGGACCTCTGCTGATTGATCATTCCATTAGATACCTATAGTATATAACCTCCTGTAAATCTCTGTAACACTTCAGTTCAAATATCAACTTAGTTCTGCTCATTCCTGTCCTCCAGACCTGAGTATCTCTACTCTCATCACCCTCCGAGACTTAGGATTGATTCCTATAGTCTGTTAAGGTCGTACTCAAAGGGTAACTGGATCTGAAGGGCTTTGGCCTCAGCTCGTGTGCTGTGCCCCTTACCTGAGTATTGCCCCTTATTTCAGGAAGGCAAGTCTAGCGCATCCAGAAGGTCAGACGAGTAGCGTAATGGATCCAGATGACTTCTGGATGAGGGATAAGTATCGTATGGCTGATCCGGATGAGTCCAGACTAGAAACTAACAGTAGTGGACTGTTGGGGACAGAGGCAGATATGGATAGACTATAGGAATCAATCCTAAGTCTTGGAGGGTGACAAGAGTAGGGATACTCAAGTCCAGAGGACAGGAATGAGTAGAACTAAGATGATATTCAAACTGAGGTACTACAGAAAGTTACAGGAGGTTATATACTATAGGTATCTAATGGAATGATCAATCAGCAGAGTCCGAGGCTATGTACAAAGCATGTGGATAGTCTATTGGTAAGTAGAAACAGATCACAAATCATGAAATGGAAATGAAACATAGGTAGCAGATAAGGGAGCAGGATGGATATACAGATAACCAAAATACCAGAGTTAGGGGGTTACTGAAAAGAGATGAGTGCTGGTTGTGGATTTGGATGAGTTGTGGACCGGACCAGACAAGTGGACAGATTGAATGACGAGATGTTGGAGGGGGATAAGATGTGGATAGCATCAGAGATAAGATGTGGATCTGCGATAAGGGTTGGATCTGAGATCTGGATATGCAGATATGACATAGTCTATCTGCATCCACCTCCTTCTATGACAGCCACTACTGCTAGTTTCTAGTCTGGACTTGTCCAGATTAGCCTTATGATACTTATCCCACATCCAGAAGTCATCCGGATCTGCTATGCTACCTGTCTGACCCTCTGGATGCATTAGTCTTGCCTTCTTGAAATAAGGGGCAATACTTGAGTAAGGGGCACAGTGCACGAGCTGAGGCTGAAGCCCTTCAGATCCAGTTAGCCCTTGAGTACGACCTTAACAGCTACCTTCTCCAGATGAACTTGTTTTGAAGCCTTCTGTCAAGTGACACCTCCTTTTCATCTCTCAGGATAATCATTAGGCATAAGTTCATCTTCCATAGAGTACAGATAAAGTACAAATCGTTCAAAATATTCTTCATAGCAAAGTCCAGTGAGTTCATTGGCTTGTAGAAAGTAGTGATTTAAAAGGGAGGTGGATGATCTTTCTCCTCCTTGCTGACAAAACTGAGGAATGTTTGAGCTGGGAAGGTGAACTGGTAGGTTTGTAACTGAAGGTTCCTTTCAGGTGACCTCAAAATTGAGGATTTGCCAGGCTGCTTTTGGTGCTGATAAATATCTTCCTTTCTGATAATCATGAACTTCATTCAAGGGAACAGGCTCATTGGCATCAATGTCTTCTTTGATGGTGAAATGGGCAGTGTCAGGTCCTTTGTATAGATACTTGTACAGATAACTGAAGACTTTCATTGTGTAGACAATGTCAAAGTGAGAGTGACAGTCAGCCAAAGTGAGGAGTGCAGGACAATATGACACTACCCATATATCTTCATCTTTGCGTTGCTGCCAGTGTAATCTTCCATGCTCATCAACCGTCATTGATTGTTGTATATGTTGGGGAAAGCCATAGATACACTGACCATCTCGATTGCATCTGCTACCCAGTCGAGTTAGATGATCCCAGCTGTGTAACATGTATTTCTTGACTTTCTCATGAAGTGCAGGATTATTGTGCGGCAGCTCTGCAGATATGATGGTATCCAGGCATTCAAAAGGTGGCTCAGGATCCACCTAACTTGATTGTCAGATTCATTGCAATATGCCTGATCATTCACAGTGTGCTTACCTTGATAATGATGTGAGCATGCAGAAAGCCCCATTTCTGAAATTCAATGACTTTGATCATATATTTTTTGGTTCCAAAAGATGTGTGAAGAAAATGCAAGACTTTCTCAAAGTGCAATTTGAAAACTTGCATGACTACAACTGGGACATCAGAAGCAGATTGTCCTGGCTCCAGACATTCTTGAACTTCTGGCCAATCAGGATTGAAGGTCATGGTGCAGAAGAAACTCAGTTTGCCATATTTTCAACCAAGAGCCATAGCATCTGCTGTCTGTTCAGATGACCAAGCTTGTGAACCCATGAAGCTAGCGGGTAATTTGATTTCGGGGTGAAATTCTTCATCATTGTCTTTGTCATCATGACCAGCATCATTGGCATGAACTTCATGCCCATGAAAATGATGATTGTATGTAGGCCAGTCATTCTTCTTCCATGCATGAATACATGTCAACTAGATATTCACATGTCAGTTGCCCAAAGAGTGAAAAACAATTGTCATTATTGGCAAGCAAGTGACTGCAATACCATTCAATCTGTGAGAGGTGAGGGATTCCAGGTAGATCATCAACACCCCATCCTATGTCTGCATGAGGGAACAGAAGGACATAGTGGAGTGGTTCATAATGATGTGAGAGGATGTTGATGAATTCTGGCTCATGATTGCCATGTCATTGGATTACAATTGGGTGAGGGTTAATGGAGGTAGAATTGGATGCATGCATGACAGTGTCATATCCACATATCCAGATCTCAGATCCACATCTTATCTCCCTCCAACATCTCGTCATCCAATCTGTTCCACTCATCTGGTCCGGTCCACAACTCATCTGAATCCACAACCAGCACTCATCTCCTTTTGGTAACCCCCTAACTCCGGTATTTTGGTTATCTGTATATCCATCCTGCTCCCTTATCCGCTACCTATGTTTCATTTCCATTTCATGATTTGTGATCTGTTTCTACTTACCAATAGACTATCCACATGCTTTGTACATAGCCTCGGACTCTGCTGATTGATCATTCCATTAGATACCTATAGTATATAACCTCCTGTAACTTTCTGTAGTACCTCAGTTTGAATATCATCTTAGTTCTACTCATTCCTGTCCTCTGGACTTGAGTATCCCTACTCTTGTCACCCTCTGAGACTTAGGATTGATTCCTATAGTCTATCCGTATCTGCCTCTGTCTCCGACAGTCCATTACCATTAGTTTCTAGTCTGGACTTGTCCAGATTAGCCTTACGATACTTATCCCTCATCCAGAAGTCATCTGGATCCATTATGCTACTCGTCCGACCTTCTGGATGTGCTAGTCTTGCCTTCCTGAAATGAGGAGCAATACTCGGGTAAGGGGCACAGCGCATGAGCTGAGGCCGAAGCCCTTTGGACCCAGTTACCCTTTGAGTACGACCTTAACAGACAGCTGCAAAGTCTCCATTGGATGAAAAGTCTTTTAATTCCAAAATGCGGCATGTGTGACATGAAGATTGATGGAAATGGTGCAGGTGATGGACATATGGATTGACTCCATCAATGTCATTACTAATGGCTTGGACAACAATGCCATGGACTCCAAATTGTTGGGCTTTCAATTTGCACTGGTGTTCATCATATAAAAACCAATGTATGGAGTGTTCAGTGTATTTGGTGTTTTGAATGAGATGATATGTACAACCTGTGATGGCAACTGCAGGTGGACCTGCCCCAATGCCAGTAGAAAAATGTTTGAACCCCCCTGAAACTCCAATGCCAGTGAAGGAAAATAAATTGTTGATGACATGACTGAATTCAACTAAATGTTGATGGCATGCATCATCTTGTAGTAAGTATCCCATTTGTGGAGGAAGTGAACACAAACATGGTAGAACTCTTGTGCCATTTCCACAACAAAAACTATTCACTTCAGTAGATAATAGTAAAGCATGGCAATGAGGACATCGTCAGTTCCATGTTGCTGGAGTGATAGGTGCTGGTGGATGATCTCATAACTGGGTCCACCAATAAACAGGTACTGGTGAAGGAGTGGGCTGTCTTGCAGGAGCAGGCAATGGAGCAGGGGTTGCTGTTAACAAAGGTAGTGATGGTAATCAAGATTGTGAGCCAAAAATGCTGTGTGCCATATTCTAAGTACAGTTATTGATTGTTCACATTTGCATGACAAAAATTGGCAGACTGACTGAGCATTGTACTGATTGACAGTGTTTCAGCCTTTCTCTTGCTGCACAAACAGAATCTGCTCATGCTCTATGCTTGCACAATTGATCTTTTTCATGTGGAACAGCCATCAAAATTCAGTGTTAGATACAAGATAGAAAGTGTTATTTGGAAAGGCGAGCAACTTTGTGAGGTGCAATGGAGGTGGATGCTTCACCATCCCTATCTTTGTCATCATCATCATCACATGCTCTTTTACCTTTATTCTGATCATTGCTTTCAATGTCTTCTTTTTTCTCCTTTCCCTTTCCTTTCCCCTTCCCTTTCAGCTTCTCCTTGTCCTTATGTGCTCCTCCCCAGTCAAACTGCTTGAGATGAATAGCAGGAACATTTTCAGATCTGTCATCAGTAGTGGTAACAGTATCCAAGGGACCTAATGCAATATCTTTGATGGTCACAATGCATTGATCTCCAGTAATACTTTGGACTGTGCCTTGAACAATGACATGCTTGCTAGCAGTGGGCAAGGGAGTTTTAGAGAAATGGGGGTGTCCTTTGGGATAGTAACAGTGAACTTGCATGTTTTGTTGTGGACCCACAATGTACTGAGAAACATCCATATCAAAACCATTTTCTTGGTTGAGTGTAAAAGCACCCCACGAAACCTTTCCTGCTATGATTATTGTTGGAAAGGTGCAAGCACCATCAGGAAGAGGTTGTAGGTCCTATTTAAATAGATGGATAAGTCAATTCAAGCATGAAAGAATTATAGTTACACCATTAGCAAAGAGATGAAGAGAATGTGCTGATTTGCCTTCATCATCAATGATAGGACCAATACTAGTTGTCCTCACATCCAAGAGATAGATGCTATCTTCAGCAGAAGCAGTGTTTGCACCAAAAGTAAACACATTGATATGAACATCTCCTATTTCTGGAGTCACAATAAAGCCATCATATCACCAATAATTCTTTTTGTTGATCTGATACCTGCTTCCATTCTGAAGTCCAACAACACCATGAAATGAAGTGGATGTCACCATAATAGTTATGAGCAAAGAGCAGCAAAAAGGAGTCAGAATCATGAGTGCAAAACAACACAGCATGACATGGTGGATGCAATAGCACCTATTCCTGGCAGCATCTCATGCTTAATATATGTAGACAAGTGTTCCATTCACCATCAATTTGCAGGTGATCAGTCCTTCTTTGGACACTTTCTACCGTGAATTACAATAAGAGATAATGCCTGTACACTACTTCATTTGCTGTTGTCTTTTCCTCTTCTTCTCTTGCAAATAGTGTTCAAATGTCTTGCCAACATAGTACTCTTGAAAGTGTGGGGTATAGTTGTCCATGTGTGAACAAATTTGTGCACAGGTCAAGCATGGCTTTCTATGTTGGAGATACTGTAGAGACACACATTAAGAGCCTGTTCAGCAACTGTTATTTAACGATATTTGGAACGGGGTGTAGGAGTAGCATGCAAGCCAGTATGTCAGAGTTTTAATAATCTCTCCTTCCAACTATGAACAGTCCTACATGTACCACCAAGCATTGACTTACTACCCAGCAGCGAAGACAGATCTTCGCAACTGTAACTGCCCTTGTAATCTCTGCTCAATTTGAACTTCTGCATATGGCCCAAAAGGATGATAACAAGCTACCCAAAGCCCATTGGAATGATGCAGAAGTGGACGAATACCTGAAGTATCTGATCACACAGAAATCTAAGATTGCAGGAACGTCATTCAAAGATGACATCTACTATGAGTCTGCAATAAAGATTGCAGGACTGAGGACACTTGGCCCACCCAAGACTGGGCCACATTGCAAAATGAAATGGCAATCTGTATATTCCCCATCCTCTTACTCAGCTGGTAACTGATCACTAATCAACACTACCCCTATATAGCTGAAGCAGACCCACAACACCATTGAGAGATATCAGAACAGTCGATCAGGATGTCATTGGGATAATGAGAATGGCACTAATATTCAGGAGGAGGCAGCAGAAACTCAGTGGCAACAATTTATTAATGCCAGCCCAAGCAACAAGGTATGTAAATATGCTCAGATCTCCAGCTGCTCCTTACCTTTTATTTTGAGACAATGAAACCATTCAAAAATGCTGGATGGAGATTTTGGCTCCAGATGTTGGAGATCATGCCAAATGGGAGTGGCACTGAGGGCACTGCCACCTATAACCTGGCTTCATTGGCCACACAGGCTTCAGAATACATCACTGAGGCCAACACTGAGGCCAGTGGATCAGCAGTTGCTGCCGCTAGCACCAAGGCCAGCAGCATTGCTATGGGGCTTGCCATTAGCATGCCTGGTGCTCGCAATGACACCGGTAGCAAAGGGCCTGCAGCTGCTGGCTTTGCATGGGACCAAGTCATGTCCACCCTTCCATCCACTAACCCTGGAATCATATCCAGCAGTTCCATGAACCCCCCCCCCCCTCCCCCATCTTCAGTTGCAGCCTCAAATAGTAGCACCAGAAAACATTCACATTCCGACATGCTCTTTTCCTCCAGCACCACCCAAACTTCATTATCACAGATGGATTCCCCCACCCTCAACAAGAAGCCAAAGTTGTCAGTATATGGTGGCAGTACCATGTCACATGTCACTGGTCAATGCTCAGGCTCCAAGGCCGCCAAGGACACTGCCAGCACTGCTGCATTTATGAACCTTCAAGGTTCCATAAACCACCTGATGGGCAGTCTTGGATATATGCTGGCCAGCACTGATGAGAGTTGTGTATTGAATGAGAGATCACAGGCCTTGGCTGTGATGCAAGATGACGAGTGCATCTTGCTGACTGACAAGGTCACCCTCATGAATGTGTTTGCAAGGAGCCTGCCAATTTGTGCCACATACTTGTCCAGCAAGCTCAAGAATCATCTACCTTACCTGCAATCAGTTATCTACCAGGCTGCCAGGGGGGATTATGGCCTGCTGTCATATCCCACAATCCAGACTCACATTCCATAATATTCCCACACCTTCTGAGCCTACATCTGGACCCCATATCTGACTCATTGCCAGATCCCCTTCCACTGTGTGCTCCACACCTCAGTAGGATCAACTCCACTCTGGATTTACCCCTGAGCTCTGGACCTCTGGATCCTCACTGCTAGCCTGATCCATACCACCCTGTCCCATCCACCCTATGCACACTCCATCCAGCAAGACATCTGGACTTCACCTCATCTCAGATTTCGGACTATATCCACCTTCTCATATCCCGGTCCTGTATCCACCTTGTCTTCCAGATCCCCAGATCTCTGGACCTCCGGATATTAACTCCGGACCTATTCCCACCCTCTGTCCAATATCCTGCGCCTATCCCCATTTAGGCATCTCTGCCTTTCCAGCTTTTGGTTACCTCCTGTTCTGTCTTGCTGTTAAGGTCGTGTGCTCAAGGGGGTTGGATCACAAGGGCTTGGCCTTAGCTCATACGCTGTGCCCCTTTCCTGAGTATGTGCCCTTAATTTCCAGGGGCTAGAACAGTCATCCAGAGTTTCTGGGATTTGACTAGGGTGGACAATGGACATCTGGATGTTACCTGGGCAAGTGGATAAGACTAATCTGGACAAAGTCCAGACTAGAAACTAACAGAGGATAGACTACCTTAAGGTAGAGTCAGAAATGTAGTCTAGGATGCAATCCTAAGACTCGGAATATGACAAGAGACTTATCTCAAGTCTAGAGGACACAGGAATGAGCAGGAACTAAGATGATATTCAAACTGGAGTATTTCCGAGAGTTACAGGAGGTTTATATACTGTAGGTATCATATAGGAATCAGTCAGCAAACATAAAGGCTATGTACGAAGCATATGCAAAGTCTATTAGTAAGTAGGACAGATCACAAATAATGTACACCGGAAATGAAATGTATGTAATGGATCAATAATCAAAAGGGAAACATGGTTAACCAGAGTCCAGAGACAGGGGAAGTCTAAATGGGGTTGGGCGCTGATATAGGGTTTGGACTCCAGAAGGGAGATAAAGATAGATCAGATCATCTGAGATCTGGATCTCGGATCCAGATATCTGGAGAAGTGGATTTAGAGTTGAGAGTCCAGAATGGCATATGACACTTGCTTATTGATCCTTGTATGAGTCTTCATCTCCAAGTTCATTTACTTATGTTCTGTCTTACTTACTAATGTGTTTCCACATGCTTGTACATAGCCTTGCTCCTTTGCTTACTGATCACCTCAGATATTGTCCAGTATATAACCCCTGTAGATACTCCTGTAGTTTCCTTAGTTTGAATATCATCTTAGACTTTGCTCTACTTGCCCAATCCTCTCTCAGACTTTGGTCCACCTAAGTCTGTCCTATCCATCAGGCCTAGGGATTGATTCCCTAGGCTGGAGCTTTGCCTTTCTGGCACTTACCCTCTTTCTGGACTTTGGTCCACTTCCTGTCTCTCTGACTCTACCTAAGGGTAGTCTACCTCTGTTTGCTTCTACATTGGACTTCATCTGATGTAGCCCCTATTCCTTCCAGACCTCCAAATGTCCTGTCCTTTGGATGTTCTGTCCTCCTAACCCTCAGACATCCTATCCTCCTGTCCTTCAGACATCCTGCCCTCTGTACCTTTAGACATCCTGTCCTTTTGTCCTCTGTCATCCTGCCCTCCTGTCCTCCTGTCCTCCTGTCCTCCATCATCCTGCCCTCCTGTCCTCCTGTCCTCCTGTCCCCTGGACCTTCGGACCTCCCATCCTTCCATCCTGTTTCCTGTAGAAGTATTACCTTGCAGTGGGAACTCTCCTGAGCACTTCCTGCATTCCTCCAGAATTCTCCCATGCTCCTCCAGAAGTCCTCTAGCACTCCACCAGAGTAGCCAGCCTCTGGAAGTCCTCTGGACTTCGTCAGACCATCATCGGACCTCATATGAAATGAAGGGCCCATACTCAGATAAGGGGCACAGTGTACAAGCTGAGGCCAAGCCCCCCTGAGTTAGTCTCTCTCCTTTGAGCAACATGGTTCTTAACACCTGCTGTAATCATGTTCTTCATGTGTCATTCTGTATTGCAAGTTGTTTGTTTTAGCCATCACTCTTTGATATGCAGTGCATCTTCATTTGTTGTATAATGTACACTACAATACATTGTGAATGTTATAGATCATTGTTGTCTGCATCATCCTCACTCCCATAGTACTCATCCATGTCTTCCTCTTCCTTTGGATCTTTGTCAATATCTAAGAAGTGAAACATGTCTACTAAATCACACTCATGTAAAATTCTCTGATAGTCCTCCCACATCTCCATGGCCATGTGATCGCAAAATGTGTTTGCATTTGCATCATCGCCAACAATCATACCATCATGTGCTTCGTCAGGTTGCCCTTGATAGGTGGGCTTGTCATTGAAGACAGCTCTCTGAGGCAGAGGCCCTTCACCTGGGTCATGGACACTTATGTAGTTATGTAGAGCACATAGCACTGCAGGAATGTGAGCTTGAATTTGAATCTTGTACTCAGGGGATATTAAAAGGATGTGAAAGTGCCACTTCACAACACTGAAAATATGTTCAATGACATTGTGAGCAGGCACATGATGAAGATTGAATAATTCTTCCTTGTTGACAGGCCTAAAAATATTATTGGATGAGCCAGACTACAAAAGAGAACTGTTAAGTTTTACCTGACACTGGCATGACCCCATTCGGCCAGATGGTAACAAACACCATGGTAAGGGACCAAAAGTTGTTGGCACAAGGAGAACCCTAGGTCTGCAAGAAGATATTTTCCTGGTGGGATATCCAAGCCATTACTATGAGCTTCACCCCAGAGCCATGCATCTGTTGCTGATCCCTCCCATCCCATCAGTGCAAAGGTAAACCCAAGGTCAAAGTCACAAATGAAGAGACAGTTTTGAGAGATGAAACCTTTTTGGTTGTAGTACAAGTGGCGGCTGGCTGAGGGAGGGAATGTGTGGATGTGGCTACCATTGATGGCTCCAATAGCATCCCAAAAGTATGGCCAACATTTTGGATTGTTGCGAATCATGCTGGAGACAGGTGCATCAGCAACAGGAAGGTGAATGTGAGTGGTGTAGAAGGGGTGGGATGTGAATATATGTAGCATCTTTCAGAAATATCTATCAGGCAGAGTTAGCTGAGGTGTGAAACATACATGAAATCACAAACTTCGAAATAGTAGTGTTTGATCACTGGAATCATTCTGCAATGTGTCTGACGGTTAATCCTGTTACACAGGTGTACAGAAAAATAGCCAGCTGCTCTTCGAGCGACACATAGCATGAATCAGTGTGACCAAAGCCATGAAGGTCACAGACTAAGCTCTCAAAGACATGAACATTTATGCCAAGTTCACAGTGGATGCACTCCAGATGGCCAACAATTAATTCAATTACCCACTCTTGCCCTGTGAGGGCTGATGTATGGTAGGGCTCAGGGTCATCTGGGATCTGCTGCAGAAGGATTTGCACTGTGGCAGCAACTAGTATGCTGAGGAGAAGGGCAATATAGCGAAGAATGCATTGGTGGACCGAAGCTTGTGCCAGATGAGCCTGGTCAGGGTGAGTCTGGTCCATGAGTTGGACTAGACGGGTCACAAGGGGTGCCTGTTGAGTAAAAAGGTTAGCGACCAGCGGATGCATGTGTCCTGGGTCCATAACTATCGCTACTGCTGTGATCTACTACTATGATCCACAGCCCCATATGTTATCGCTATCGATCTTACCGGCTACTTTCAGACTCAGCTTGTATCTCCATAAGTAACGTTCGTGCTACCCACAATTTTGTTCGGTTTGCAAAATTTCGGTTGCTGAACGGGCTCTTAATGGCGCTTTAATATGCATATCAGTTGGGTCTCACGGGAAAAGCGGCAGAATGGCAGTTCAGCTGAAGCAAAAAAGGCCGACCATAACGAGAGCATTGCTTGGTACGTCCCTTCCCACGTTCTGTCCCCCTGTCTGCTTATATGCAGCCTTTTGCACCGTCTGCAACGACATGAGCACACTTTCCATCACTCGTACCTGTATCCTGCTCACTTGCGTCGTCCAACGGAACATTCTCTTACTCCCTTGACACCCAGCTCACCCATGCACAGTGCCTCTCAGAGCAATCTACTGCGTCCTCACATTCGAATGCCATCTTTGGCACTCCCGTTCCACATCGGCGCCTCTCCGTCTGTCCTCCCTTTGCAAATCGTTCACATTGACCTTCGCAAGCTTCTGTGACATGCGTGTGGATCCGGAAGGTTACAGCGAGAATTTGTTCAAGACTGCCGAATTTCGCCATAGCGGAGGGTATCCTGTCGCAGCTATCGTTGGTATTAGGGTAAAGTAAGTCCCCACGCAGCCCGCTACTCCAGGGACACCGTCAATGAGGAACGTCATAACGCCCTATTCAAAAACAAAACATAAAGTCCCCGCTCTCTCCGTAATCTCTTCGCCAAAGACACCTCCATGCAAATTTCGAGTACTACCCACCACCGCAATAAAAGCAGCCACACCCATCAAGCAGCCAACATTCCGCAAGGACACATGCCTTCTCTATCCGTCTGCTCCGATGAAGAGGAGAAAGCACGTTCTCAACGTGCGAAGAAGCCCCGTATGAGGGAACCTTCGTGGTCGTTAATCGCGTCTCAAGATGCACATGCATGATAGACCCTGCTAGTTTTGGCATCAACGCAAATTATTAGTATATCGTTTGTGCATAAGGATCTGACTGGCGGGTCGGGGTGAACACTGCCCAAGGCTTCCTCTAACTCATCAGATAACGACAACGAGTTTTCGACGGCAAGGGGTATAGACTACTGCAACAACCGTCTCCCTTGCCCGTGTCCTTGCCGAAGGCGAAACCAAAGGCAAAGGAGACGGAGGAACCGAAGAAGACGACAACAACAAAACCAAAGCCCATCCGCTGCTACCTCATGCGAGACTCTTCGATGTTTAGTCCTGAACTCCCTTGTCCACAGGCAGCTCCATCACGTGTCCCGTTGTCGTTTCCCATCGGATCTCCTGTTGTGATATCGCTCGCGTCTACCGTAATTGTATACCCGAGTGTATATCCGCTAAACCTCTGCTCGCTACCCAGAAGCGTCTACGCACACTTCACCGTACTGCATGTAGGATCTCGTTTGGGAGTTTGAGGGCTGCGACTGCTGTTTCGCTCCTCGAGCTCGTCGGTGACCTTGATTTATCCATTCACCAGTGCATCCATCTCATCCCGTCATTACTCCTGAACCACCGAAACTGGAGTCATCACACATTTATTAACTTCCCATGGAAACATATACCATCACCGCCCATTCGTCATCGCTTTCGTTCCTACTGCCTCCGCTCCTGTCCACATCATTTGATCGTTCTTTCTCTGTACAACAATCCCCTCCTTTGTTGCGCAATCTCCCCTCTCTCCCCTCTTTGTACAACCTCATACTTTCTTTGTACGACTGCCCTCGTCGCTACACACGTCGATGGTATCATTGATGGGCCGAGGCCGAACCCCTCACTCAACTGGCAAGAATACCAGATACCAAAAGCATCACGAACAATTCTCCAATCTCTTGGGACGACCAAATATTCCGCGCGAGTCACTGCCTTGCGATCTCAGATCTCATCAATAACTTTTACCTTGATCCCATTGGTATCCCTGGATGCGCATTATCTTTCTACTGGAATTCAGGCTGGAACACTTACTTCGACCAATCAGATACCATCCCTCAAATATCACTTCGGCGGTGTAAGCGCTAGATTGTGGTATATCAAGCACGAATCCAATCGTTATCGCCCACCAAGTTCCCCCGCTCGCTCACTCTCATCATCTAATAGTATGACTCTGGTCTCGAATGATCCCAGTTGGTGGCCATTGATCAATGCGAATCTTATTGGCAGCTATTTTATAGGTTCGTTCAGAGCCAGCCACAAGATGACAGTGATGATTCGATTCGCCTTGACTCCAATTTCACAGTTGCTGCCTCTGTCGGGCTGGTGTACGATTGGGGTGAGCAAGACTAAGTATGAAAAGACCACTGATATCCTTATGGTATTCCCAGCGCTTACATTCGGACAAGAGGTACGTTGATCCATTACTGTAGCAGCCAACTCGTTTAGAATTGTGCTTATAGATTGAACTGATCTGGGTGAGTACGAGACTCCCACATCAAAAGAACGACATGAAAATATAACTTGTTCATGGCAGAGGCAACGCTGGTCCCTGATGACCTTTCTCTATCTTAGTGTATGTGCCTTGTATTTTAATATTTACTCTTAGCAAGTCCAAGTCCTGCTGACTTCTATATATCCTAGGTGCGCTATGCTGGAATTGGATATCTTGTGTACGTTTGGATGTTTAAGCCATTGATGTTGCGCTCATCACCCATCTCTCACAATCAGGATGTTCATACTGGGTACGCATCCTCGCATAGATTCTGTTTCTTTCTTGTGATGTGCGACATACAGTCGGTCTTCCAACAATTTCACAAACAGATGCAGTGCGTATTCCGCATGATGCCTTCAATTCCCATCCAAACACTAAACTATCATGCAGGGGTGAGTGAGATTCTCGAACAACTCGTTGACTCAACATAACTACTCCCACAGTTGTGAGTTTGTTTCGAACCTGTGAGCTTCCGAAACTGATAACTGATGTTGCTGGATTTGTCAGGTCTTATCATCATCGATGCACTTGATTGGATGTGTGTCGCTGTAAATGTAATACTGGGCGGTGAGCTATACACCTCCGTGACATTGACTTGACTGAAAGACCATACAAGTGATCATGATCGCTCGGTTACATGCCATGTATCAGCGATCCAGAAAGACGCTGATATTTCTTGTTACCACCTTTGTGGCCATCAGAATTGCCAACGCAGTGATGACCATAAGATCAATGATGTATAATGCAGGGGGTAAGTGTTAATCATGTGTGAAATATGTAAGTGCAGTCAGGCTCATTTGAGAAATATCAGAGGAAATTATTCTCTCCGGTACCTATCAGTGCATGGTTGACTACGGAGGAGATTTCTTATTTCTTTCTTCCATGACGTGGATACTTGGAACTGTATGGGAGGTCCTTGCGCTGTGTCTTGCGGTCTGGATTGCTGTAAAGCACTTCCGTGAACTGCGACAACACTCAACAACAGGTATTATCGGGGACTGTTTCACGGTGTTAATACAAACTCATGTTGGTTACTTTGCGAGGTGCGCTCATAGTGTGAATGTGGTTCTCTTGTTCCGCTGACGTTTTGCACGTTCTAGTTTTTTGGCTGTCTCTTGCTTCAAAATCGGTTTATTCTCTCCGACGCTCTTAGCGGTATGCCGATCTGTCACTGCCCTCTACATGTGACCATGGTTCATCATCTCTATAGGACTCAAATCCCCTGGATACTCAGATTTATCTCGGTTTTTCTACGGTGTTCCAATCTGTAGAGTTGTTTGTGCTGGGACCACGCCTGATCCTTGGTGTTCGAGAATATCACGCTGAGCTCGTGGCCAACTCTGACACAGCAACCGCTATGACTTCAATTGCTTTTCAGGAGCGCACTCATGTGACAACTAGCAGTAGCGTGTAGCTCGATATGATTGGTTTGCAATGAGTGGGTAGTATGCAGGGAGCAAAAGAATCCGTTTTTATTTATTCCAGGTTTTGTCGTAGTACTTATTTATGTAAGTTGGGAAGTAGATATAGGTCATACAAGAGCTTTTGGTGGATTGTTACTAGTAGAGATCTCTCCCTGATGCTGAACTTCACGCACTTGATCTCAGTAGTGCTGTCAAGATCGTAGCGGCTAGTGGAAGTCTGTTCGTTCATGAGGCGATCGCTGAAAGTTGGCTGTTTCCGGGACCACGAGAAGTAGTGAACCTGTGGACCCTTTCAGCACCCCTGTTCATCTTAGTTGCTCCAGGGTTATGCACTGAGTACCTCTAACTGCTAGTAGGACTTTGGCTCATTAACCAGGATACTTCATTGAGCCCAAACGGATCCGGTGCTCTGAGATTAATGTGAGTGAGGTGATGAGCGGATGGGATGAAAATGTATGAGTAATGCACCTGAAGTCGAGTGTGGTGAAGGGATCCGAAACGCAACGAGCAGCCCCTCAGTAACTAGTGACTCCTTCTTGCACCATAGGCACTATGGGCGTGGCACGATAAAAAGTCGAAATGAGTGACTAGAGGTGCGACCGATTACGGAAGAAGCGCAGACTCGAGTTTCCTTCTGGCGTCTAGCTTGAGTCTAATAATAGACTCGATTGAATTGACCGTTCTAACAAGGACCTAGGAAATGATAACCCTGCCCTCACGTCATCATATGGCGCAAGACTGGAGCTGCGCAATGCTCCATGTGAATGGCAACAATCAATGCTATGTAAAGCCCCGTCTGGACGAATGCGTGGACAGTCTGACCATGGTTAACTGAGTAATATCTCTGGCGGTACCCAAAGACACGCAAGATCTTCGTTCGATCGATACTCGAGTCTGGGCACGATTTTCTGAGCTGACAGCTGCCTAGGAGCTGCGCAATGCTCAGTGGGTAGCCTCACAAAGCTTATCGATATCCCTCGATTTGGGTAAGGTCTTTAGAGTGGAAGTTCATCCTGTGAATGGCAACACTCAATATCTATGTTAAACCCCGTTTAGACGAATGCATGAAGTACCGCAGTTTGGTTACTTGAAGAGACATTTGTGCAATTGGTACTTCGGAAATACTCTGGATGATAATACAAATTGAAATACTTCATCTCACCCGCTTTTGATTATCAGTCCTATCTCCCATGGCCAGCCACCAATACCGCTCGATATCTGACTTCTCCATTGTCGAGTTTAGCCATGGCTTCTTCAATTCCTTCGACCGTCAGTGGAAATTCTTCAGTGATGGGTTTGATGCGATGGACAGCCGCAAATGTCAGCATCTTGACGTAGGCACCACGCGATGCACAAAAGCTTCCCTGTATTCTCAACCCCTTTGACAAGAGAGGCACATAGGGAATGGCCAAATCCCCCTCAGAAAAAGTGAGAGGGTATATAGTAGCATTAGACGCCAGAACCGGGAGGAAGCTACGAATCATATAAGTCGATCAAAGAACAATACCCCGAGATAAGACTCACAGATTCCAGTCAGGGATTCGCGAGGACGTAACAAATAGGTGCTTAACCGGTCTCCCGATTTCCAGTTTGCTCGCGCCTCTCGTGACGTAAAACTCTTTTGCACCTAAACTCAGTCGCCTCTTCCTTCTTACTTCCGCTCCCAGAGAAAACTACAACCTCGCACCCCATTTTCGCTGCAAATTGGATGGCAATGTGACCAAGACCACCGATGCCTACAATCCCCACTCGGTCTGTAGGTCGGACATTATACAAGTACATCACGTTGAACACCGTTGCTCCCGCACACATCAATGGCGCCGCGTCAGAGGAAGTGATAGCATCGGGAATATGAAAGAGAAAAGCTGCCTTCCACACCGCATGGGAAGCGAATGCGCCTTGGTCAGTGTTTGAGTATGCGTACATGGCTCTCTCGGCGCAAAACATCTCGTTTGCGTTGAGACACTCTTCACAGTGCCCACACGAATTGTGGAGGTATCCCCAGCCAGCACGATCGCCACTGTTGAATCGCGACCGGATCAGCTACACGACAACGCAAACAAGAAACAGGTATACACTTTGAATGAGGTGACTTGCGACCCGACCTGCTGCACGATGCCAACACCTTCATGGCCGAGGACCATGTCTGATGTCCTGTGATGCTGGTCCGTACCGCACAGCCAGCATGGGTGATTTTGAGTAGCACCTCGTCTGTTTTGATGCTTTCTTTATGAGTTTTTGACTCGACTATCTTTCCAGTGGGGGAGCCTTTGAAGACGGTGAAGTCAATTCCAGTCATTTTCGTTGCTGCCCGTATGGAAATGGATACCAGGGGTAATTCGAGCAGATGATTAAGGGTCAGACCTTTTATATCAAGCGGAGTGATGGGAAGTTCCACTAACATGGGATGGGAGCTCAAAGAAGCATTGGGGTTTGATTTGTTATCCGGACTCTGTGCGGGTAAGCACCATGATAACTTAGATCATAATCAAAGGCATGCTGAATACTAGGATTAGTACGAGAGATATCAACGTTCGTATGCCTTATAGAGTCAAGTTGTGGCACCTGATACGATCGCTAGAAGCGCCATGACATATCGATAGCCCCAATTTGCCTAACTATGTATAATACCTGGCGCCCCTGCAAGGGACCAAGGGTCTTTGACATGCCCAGCCACAGAAAGAGCGCTTGTCTTCCGCATGACGTTTCTTCCTGATTCGAATTCAGCGCTGAGCGCCCAAAAGTTCAAGACATGTCTAAAAGCTAAAACTGCTCACCTCTGCATGAAATCAGTCAGCGCTACAAAAACCCCTGTGAACTAATTTCACTTCAGTACGGCGCGAGATGAACACTGCGACTTGGGCGCTTCCATATCTCCTCGGCCCACTGCACTCGAAGAGAGCTATCGCGGCCCGTGTCTGATCATGTTTGCAAAATCGTTGACCCAGAGATCTTCTGACAATACAGATCTCGCAATATGAGGAGTTCAATTAGACCAGTCCACTTCGTTGCTAGATTCATGCGCAGACATAATTACTCACCACGGCCTCTGAGCTTGGGATATGACTTGATTTAACAGTCTCGCGAAAGTAAAGGTTTTTCGATATCAAAACAGATCACCGTGTCATGGTATGCTCACGTACATAGGAAATCCAATCAAGCCAGAAAACTAATTATACCTCAACCGATCCAACACCAACGCCGCAAAAGCCCACTCCCCTCAGGTTCCAACGGCATTCAGTATCCTGTGCGCCTCCAGATTGATCAAATGCTCGGCTTATCACCGTGACCTTGGTCTTCGGGCGGCCATTCCTCTGTCCGTGGCTAGCCCACTCAAGAGCATCGACATCGATGTCTACCACGAGTTCGCCTTCCCACAGTGACCAACTCCAGCTACCCTCTTGGTATGTGATTCGTACTTCGTGCCATGTCTCGCCGCCATCCGCGCTGATTTCCACACGCGAGATAGGGCAGTGGGAGTAGGCGTAACCTGTGACTTTAAGAGTCTTCTGGTCAGGACAGGCAAGTGTCAGACACTGGATGTGTGCAACGACCGAGTTGCAATTAAGCCGTTGCATCGAAGGTGTACGACTCCACCAATTCTCCTTGATGGCCTTCTCTGGAGAGGAAACCTATTTGCAGTAAAGATGTTGGACGTAAGCGTACATCACGATTAGATATGGACGACGTACACATTCAGGCAACATCTTGTAATCACGCTGCTGATAGAAATTGGGAGATTCGTTCCTTGAAATGGTGATACGGTCCACCCATTTAACCCATCGCATGCCAAAGTAGCCAGGTACGACAACACGCAAAGGGAATCCGTGATCTGGCGTGAGGGGTGCATCATTCATCTAATAACAAACGTGAATATACGCCCACTTCTTAAACCAATAATCTGACCTCGTATGCAAGCATAGCAGCACCATCCTCAGCCATGACTTCCTCAAGCGGAATAGACCCTCCATAACACGTATCATCCTGGCACGGCGCAACATTCGAAGCGAAGCAGACATGGTAACCTTTTTGCGCATCTTCCAGTTCAGGGATTCCTGCACTGATTAATATATCACGCAGGAGTACACCGCCCCAGCGCGCATTCGCAATGGTACCCTCGGACCACTTGATACCTCGCACCTCTTTCCCGGTCTTTTCTTGCATCTTGGCACGACGGTTACCAGCGCACTAGATCGGGTGGTGGGTATGTTCATTCTGGAAATGGTAGGGATGACGTACGATGAGAGCAGCCACGACCACTTTTTTTGGAAAGGATGCGATCATGTCTTTGACGTTAAGTACCTTGTCTTCCATCCCCTCCATTTCGCCGTCTATCTTGACCGTATAACTGTCGAATTCAGATGCTAGATCTTTTATCACAGCTGCGGATACCACAAATCAGCAGTGTCCGCGGTCAAGCCAAGCATTGGGGAATGAAAATCAGACGCGAGCACGACGTCGGATTTGATCGTATTGAGAACCAGAGTCAGGTGCATTATGCGAGATAGAAGAGGTAGTGGCATAGTTTGGAAGAAACATAAACATACAATGGTTACGTGCATATGCCAGGTGCAGCGGTGTAATGGTGTGCTTTGTGAGCTCTACGAGGCATGGTGGTTCGGCATTGAGGGGTGTCTGGCCGAGCACTCGCAAATTAGTCTTGCCCATGTTAATATTGTCTAGGATATTGACAATGGTATGCTAGACAACAAAGCATGGTGTTAGTGCAATCCAACACATCGAGTTGGCCAGTAGGCAGTTACCGAGGTAAGAAGTACTTGAATGCAGAAATCAAACAGTGAGGCTTTGAGACTCGGTACAAGAAAATGGGCTGGTTTTATAGAAATACGCCAACTTAGATCCGCACATGGATGGAAGCTCGAGAGTTCGAACGCTCGAGCCCTAAGACCTGCGTACGATATCTGTAGATTCAAATTTAACTCGTAACAAAAGCTTCGTGTGCAAGTTCCGAGAGCATCACGTGCAAGTTCGGGGAAAACTTTAACACGACACGATCGAGCAAATCGCTTCAAATTACATGAGGGTGTTTACTAAATGTCAGTGGACTGCGTCCTGTGTGTACTTCTAGACATAACTAGTCTACTCGTCTGCTTCCCCTGCTACGATAACATCGTCTGTAGGAACAATTAGCGTTTTGTCGGGGAGAGACATCGTTGACTTGCCTATTTTCAGGACTGCTCGAACCAACTGCAATTAGGAAAACACATTGAGACATCGTGCATCAAAGTGGCAAGCAAAAGGTTCGTACCTGAGTGGCAAGTAGATATTGTTGTCGCTTTGAGATCAGAGGGTCGTAAACGAACTGCTTCTTCATGTCTAGAATTCGGAACTTGATTCAAGCGTTTCCAGTATGCAACGTGGTATCACGCACCATTCTCTCCCCTTCCAGAACAGTCGATTCCAAGTCTGGAGTTCTTCTCTGTGACCTGTCGACTCTTGACTTCTGTCAATGTCTCGATTGGCGAGAGACCACTGTTCTCAGCAAGTGCAAGGGGGATTGCATCGAGAGCAGCTGCAAAGGAGCGCATCGCATATTGCTCAATAGATGGAATCTCATCGGCAGCCTTGGAGACGGCGATGGAACAACTGATATCGGCAGCGCCACCCCCGTAGACCACACGGTTGTCCACGACAAGATTGCGGACTGCGCAGATAGCATCGTGTAGGGCACGTTTTGCCTCATCGACGATCTACGTGCCTTGATGTCAGATGATATGTGGAGTGAGGGTGAACAGAAGGCAGACCATTTTATTGCTTCCGCGCACAAAGATTGTGACGGCACGGGAGTTGGCACACTCTTCAATAACGAGCATCTTGTCGCGGGTCGTGCCGAACGTAACCTCCCGCACGATACCTGCTTTCCCAAGTTTTTGTGCCGTAAGATCCTCGAATCGGGGGACGATTCGACCTTGTGTCGCTATAGCGATCAGCTAAGAACAGAACATCAATGATGCCTTCACGGTAGGGAGAATTTGTGAAATTCACCTCAATTTCTGGTCCACCAACCCATCGAACCGCAGGCAGCTCGTTCTGCATCAATAAGTGATTTGCTTCATCATCAAAACCCCACTGGCAAATGACCAAATTCGCTCCAGTGTCCTTCACCATCTTGATCATGTCCTCGAACTTCTCCTTTTCATAATCCCGGAGATGCTTAAACTCCTCTACAGACGTAATTTCAAGCTTATGCTTAGTCTTGGGTCGTGGAGGCTCAAAGGGACAGGTGAGAATCGCGAGGCGCGCATCGCGCACGCAAGAGGGCATTTGTGGGTGGGACATATCCTTGTCAATGAGAACGCCCTTGATGAGCGTCGTGTCAGCAAGGGAGCCGCCAACTTTGCCGTCGACCTTGATGAGGTCAAAGGGAACATCACGACGTTCAAGGTCTGCAACTGTTAGAACAGCATCAACCGCGATTTGAGCGAACTGCTGCAACTCCTTCGACACGCTGTGCCAAATTCAAAGCATATTCAAGGAAAGAAAGAATTGACTAGCGTACATTTTGCTGCCTAGACTGGTCATCGCGGTCTTGAGAAGATTTTCTTTGTTCTCAGGTGAGAACTCGACACGATCTGAGATGTTGTCGAGTTTCTCGCAGGCAACAGCACAGGCCCGGTCAAAACCATCTGCTATACGGATGGGATGGATACCACGGTCTAGTAGGTCTTCGCTCTGCTCCAAAAGTGCACCAGCCAGCACTTTGAATGGATTTCAATAAGAGGGAAGAGATGGGCACAAGTCAAGATCGTACCGACAACACCAGTAGTCCCGTCTCCGATCTCATCGTCCTGGCTTTTGGACAGCTGCACGAGGAGCTTTGCAATTTGATGCTCGACCTCCATCTGTCCCAAAATGGTTGCACCATCATTCGTCACGGTGATCTCGCCGTCAGGCGATATAAGGATTTTATCCAATCCTGCATGATTGATCAATCAGACTCCTGTAATACAGCGGTTTAATGGAACTCACCTCGAGGCCCTAGAGAGGTCCGGATTATGTTTGCCACTGTCCGTGCCGCAAGAATGTGCGACTTGAATATATTTCGTGAACTCAGCACTGTTGATCGGCAGGAAAGTCGCTCACCTTGATTGCCTCTACACCATGAGTTCTGGTTTTTCTGCCCTGCTCCCTCAGGATGATGAACGGTCGGCCATACTGGAATAATTGAGCACGACGTATAGGGTGATTTGGCTATGCGATTCACCTCATCAGTTGCGTATACAGCTTCTTGTTGAGCCATGATTTTGTTGCTGAGCGCGTCGCGTTTTGGAGGCTGAACGTGACACGATTATTGCGTGACAATAACCCTGATAGTGCGTGATGACGTGACATGGGGTTTAGAGGAAATTACAAGGACGCCCTCCATACTCTTCTTCTGTCATAAACTTCCAGCACAGTCCAAACTTATCATGGAGCACGAGATCGATGGCTGGATTGAACAACTCAGTCAATGCAAACAACTAACAGAAGCGGACGTAAAGAAATTATGCGACAAGGTTCGTTGGCCCCGATAAAGACGCCACCTGGGCTCGATCTGACTGCGGCCATACAGACGAGAGAGATCCTTATGGAGGAGTCCAACGTACAGCCCGTGCGATGCCCAGTTACTGTGTGCGGCGACATCCATGGTCAATTTGTACGTTCCTGTTTGTTCTTATAATCTGGACTGCTGATCTTGTCTCGTGCGCGTCTCGTGCTTCTCATACCTCGTTTACTCGACGCGCAGCATGATCTTTCTGAGCTATTCCGCATCGGTGGCAACTCACCAGATACCAACTACCTCTTCATGGGGGATTACGTGGATCGAGGGTACTACTCTGTTGAAACAGTGACTCTGCTTGTGGCACTCAAGCTGCGCTATCGCGACCGTGTTACGATTCTACGAGGAAACCACGAGTCTCGACAAATCACGCAGGTGTACGGCTTCTATGACGAGTGTTTGCGGAAATATGGAAACGCTAACGTGTGGCGGTTCTTCACCGATTTGTTTGACTACCTTCCCCTCACTGCCCTCATCGATAACCAAGTGAGTCTCTTGTCCCTATACCCATCCACAGCGCAAATCACCTTACTGCTGTTTCTGATCGCTAACCTTCTTATTCAAAGATATTCTGCCTGCACGGCGGTCTCTCACCTTCTATCGACACATTAGATCATGTTCGCTCCATCGACCGTGTGCAAGAAGTTCCTCACGAAGGTCCTATGTGCGATCTTCTATGGTCTGACCCCGACGACCGGTGTGGTTGGGGTATTTCACCCCGCGGGGCGGGGTACACCTTCGGGCAGGACATATCCGAGGCTTTCAACCATAATAATGGGTTGACCCTTGTCGCCCGAGCACATCAGCTCGTCATGGAGGGTATGTGTGTATTCAACACCACGCTAGCTTGTGTGCTCACGCGTGAATGATGATTAGGTTATAGTTGGGGTCAAGATCGGAATGTCGTGACGATCTTTAGCGCACCGAATTACTGTTACAGATGCGGTAACCAGGCGGCGATTATGGAGATAGATGAAAAATTATCATACAGCTTGTGGGTGTTTTTCCTACTTGGTTCGTTTGCTGTTCGTCCTGAACGGTGTCCTCAGCCTACAATTTGACCCTGCCCCCCGAGCGGGTGAGCCGCTGGTTTCACGGCGTGTCCCGGATTATTTCCTGGTACGTCATTGGCTCCCAGAAATGCGGGATGACGTATGTCTAACCTTTCCTGCTAGTAATGGTGATGTTCGCTGGCTATCGATATTGTACATAGTGCCTGCGTCGTGTATCTTACCTTGGGGCTGCGTCAGTCTCAGCAACGAACATTATATACCACGTTACACGACAGAGTAATCACTACTCATCCTTCAACGTCGTTAATTCGACGTTCTTCAAGATCATTTTCCATAAGATGCTCATTGCTTGCTATATTGATATGGACTGTGTATTGTAGGAGGACAAAAGAATAGAGAATTGCGATCGAGTCTTGCTTTTCGAACGTGTCTTATAGTGTGCGGCATTGTGTCAGCCCTGCAGTGGCCAAAGCGCGATGCGGACGTCCGACAACGATGGACAGTGTAGTCCCTCTCGAGACAACAATCATCAACTGCGCTGGTACTTCGCTCCAAAAAAATTATTGTCGAGCATTCTGCCTCACAAACCATGGTTTCCCGTCATCTTCATTAGGATACTACCCTGTCACTCTGTTCGAAAAATTATCAGTCATACGTAGCACCAGAACTATCAAAACTCGCTCAGTGGCACCGAGCACATATTAAAACTTGAACTTTAGAATCAAATGGAGTAAGTATTAGTCTTGCTCGCGCCGCCAGCCAGACTCAAAGTTTTGAACCCCCCCTCAAAGTGAAAATAAAAATAAACATTTTCACTGCGAGATTGGTTCCAAGTGCCCCTCCGCCAACTTCTCAAAGTTGTTCAACTCACCAGCTGGCTTGGACTACACCTGCCGCACCCAAACGAAGCTTGAAAACAAATACTGAAACAGCTAATGAAAATTACTCACGACATACAGCACAGAGATCTAAAAGGGGGTAACAATTGTGTGTACCTATAGGAAAAGAATGCTAGTGGAGAATTGCGACTGCCAAGTCATGCATTTGATGGTCTTCGTGTGCAACATGGCGCGAGCGTCGGACTCCGCTCTACCCTGAGAACACAAACGGAACCCAAAATCAAGGTTCTTGGAAGAACTTCTGTTGATTCCAATCAAGTGAACTTCTTAGAGATTGGAAGTAAGCATCATGTATCATGATTGATTGCGTACCGAGAACATTCGAGATGTATGTGGTATTAGATAGCGGAATCCCTCTCACCGTGAAAAAAAAAAGACATACCTGGCGCGCTGTGATTGATCTTCTCTCTGACGAATTGACAGAGTACCAAAGTATAGATAGATCTACTTAGTATTAGACTGAAATCGATTTCCAGGGCTCCGATCTACTTAGATTCAAATAAGTCAGGGTCACGTGCGCGTGTTGATGGGAACGCGTCGTCGGAGTCAAATTAGCTAGGTCCACAATCGCCACATCAATCCACTATCAGATTGATCAATGATCCACTACATTTGCGCCGCATTGGCCGACCAAATATAAGGCAAGCAGAAACCAGTCGTCTTTCTCGTCCTCTTAGTTTTCTCCACCTCACCAGTTCTGCTGACGACACTCAGTCAGCCTAACAACAACACCTAGCGTCATGTCCCCTGCCGGTGAAACTGGCACGTCGTCTACTCCGCCACGCGCCAATGCACCAGCTTATGGTGGTAGCATAATAGAATCTACTCCAAACAGTCGTGGGGCTTCTGTCATCAGCGAGAACATCGGCGTGCTCGGTGCCGGGTGCGCACATTTCTTGTTTTTATTGAGTAGTTCCTAATATTCCATCAAGGGTTAGGAAAGTCCGCCCGTGGATTCAGCGGGACATTGAGCAGGTTAAGGAGTGCAAGGTAGATGCCATGTTGCAAGCCCTCCTGCAGCGCGCTTCTTCCGCGCCTGAGACTGGGCAACCCGAGCTCCTGCAAAAGTGCCTCAAGGCGGTTCTGCCGGTTTGCAATGGACAGACCTCCACTGCGCTTGTAAAGTCTTCGGACATTGAGATAGCTCTCAATGAATAGTGAGTGCTTGTTCTAAGTTCGCTGATCAGGCGTTTTCATGCTTATAACGATCACAAGCGTACGTCCAGGAGCAGAAAACAAGTTCTACGGCCCTTTCATAAGAGCCACTAACATCGCGCTCGCTTGTCTTGAAGAGATCGAGGTTGACGGGATGCGTGCTGCTGTCCCCGCCGTGGACATGATCTGTCAGCAGAACGACATGCCCATGTACCAAACCCACCAGACCGCGAAATCAACTCGAAAGCCCGACGTTGTCATTCTTCCTTTGAGCAGTGCGTGCACTCCCTTCCAGGATGAGAAGGGCAGCAAGAAAGGCACCAAGAAGGGCAAGCGGAAGGACAATGAGAAAGACAATGCGATGAACAACGAGAGGGATGACGCAATGGACGACGAGATGGACAATGAGAAGCGCAAGACAAAGCGCAAGGCTCACATGGACACGAACGCAACGGCAAAGCCGAAAAATCTCCCCTGGAAAGATGTTCTAGCTTCCATCGAGTTCAAGAGAAAGACGCCAGGGAGGACGAAAGGGATCAGCTCACCGCCCGCTTCGTATACAGTGGCAGACCATATCCTTACCAAGCCAGAATATCTGCCGGTGGATCATCTTAAGGCTGAAGACCCAGCGCCAGGCCCTTCGCAGATCCCAGCAACAAAACCTGCGTCCGGTACTGCATGTAAGTGATGGTATTTAGGATTTCGAGATCAAACTAAATCAGCCAAGCTGCAGTTCTATCTTCCGGCCTTACTACTACCCAACCCTCCCAGGGTGGGTCCAGCTCCAAGCGCAAGGCCACGGACACTTTGGAATCCGCCGCGAAAAAATCTAAGATGGACCCCGACGACACGGACGACGATCTAGATGTGACCGTCCAGACAGGTCTGTACGCCGCCGAAATGTTTGCGTCCAATCTTGCAGTCAATTATCTGCTGAATCTCATCATCATCGGTGGGTTCGTTCGTCTGTTGAGGTTGGTCGCGCTCTTACCGAAGCTTCTTCAGACGATGTAATGTGGATCTGGTATTACGATCGGCAAGGGATCATTCAATGCTCAGGCATCAACTTCATTCAAGATCTCCCGCGATTCATGGTGCTGTTGTATGCTCTACAGAGATTCGATCTTCATGATTGGGGCCGAAACAAGGACTTCCTCCCAGTGCAGGTCGAGGGCAAACAATGCCACGAATTCAAAATCAAGGACGCAGAACTTGGAGAGGTGGATCTACTGCTTCACACCAGCCACGACGAAAGAGTGACGCATTATGGCCTACAAGGCCGGGCCACCAATGTGATCCCTGTCACTAGCGAAGCGCTCGCGAAGAAATATGGCAACTTCCAGGATGGGATGGTGGCCAAGATCTTTTGGGGAGAGGCGAGTCGCACTAGCGAGCCGGAAATCTTGGACAAGGTTGAGGAGATCGCCAAGGCGCACGAAACCGTAAAAGACCATATTCCCAAGCTTCTTTGGCACCACACGTTCACGAATCCCACGTCCGCCATCCGAGAAGCGCTCGGGGTTCCAGAACCCACCAAGGGCAACCGTGTGCTCTATATCCTCGTATTCCCCAAGCTCCACTCAATCACGGAACTTGACGGCAGAGTGCTTTTCGACGTATGGCGTCAGTGTATTTTATGTATGTATTTCACTCAATTTATGAGGCTCTTTGTTAAAATAGCGTGCAGGCCACCTTACTTTGTGGAAGGAAGGTGTCTATCATCGAGATGTCAGCCCAGGGAACCTGATGTGGTACTGGAAAGACGGCAAGCGGATAGGTGTGCTAAATGACTACGACTTATCCTCGTTGGCGAATGTCCAGGGTCCTCAGGGCAACGAGCGCACCGGCACGGTGCCGTTCATGGCGCGCGAGCTTCTCACTGAAGAAGGTCAACGAGGCAAAGTGAAACACCTATATCGCCATGATCTGGAGTCATTTATGTGGGTTTTCGCTTGGATTTGCTTGCGTTACAGGCAGGGAGTCCTTCTACCACGGAGATTGCGCTCCTTCGACGAGTGGGCGACTTTAGGTGCCATTGCATGCGGCGAGAAGAAGCTAGTCTTTCTCAACAATTTGTCGCCTTTTGCACCCTCGGACATAGACAAACTCACATGGGGTGTCCTTGTGAGCTGTCTGCTGGTACTTAAAAGGGATGGCGACGACAGATACTATCTTCGCTTCCAAGAACCGTCGGACTCAGGAGCAGACCAGCAGCCCGACGCTGAGGAATTAGATCCCGATGTTTTTCTATCTAAATTTACATGTTCCAAGGGTTGGCTTGCGCTCAGCAAACCTTCACAATGATCTTCTTTGCTTGTCGCCTTACATACGGTTTTCTGACTATCAATCCTTGTAACTTTCAGTTGCACATTCACAATACAAACAGTCCAATAGGGCCGTCCTGGAACGCTTCATTGGCAGGGAGTAAGTACATCGACTTAACATGATGTATCTTGCCATCCTCAGCTATTCGTATCCGAGTCCCTGAGGTTTCTACCATGGCATGCTACGATCGATCTCAAGACACAATTTTGTGTCCATCATGACTCACACTACATCGATCGATAGTTGAGGGGTAACTTGAACGCGGACTCGTGACCAGTCACTCGCGAGCCGGAAATCCTGGGAAGAGTTTGCAAAATCGCTGCTACTGTGGTTAGCCCGTGATGATATTGAACTCGTGCTACTAGGGATTCGGGGTAAGCATCATGATTAATTGCACATAGAACGAGACTGAGCGAAATTTCTGGAGTAAATAGCGCAGTCCGATGTCTCAACATGAAAAACATAAATTACCCTGGCGTGCTCCTATCAATCTTATTTTCAACGAACTATTTCAAGGTGTGTCTTATCGCACACCCTTAAAGTGATCACATGGCGGCTGGACGTCATCTACCCTTACTTCTGCTAGTACCCCGCAGGCTACAACTCGTCATGGCGTCCGTCATCCCAGTGATTTTCATACTCGTCATAATCCTAGGACTGATGGTTTGTGGTTACCTCTTCGTTCCAAAAGGCCCATATCAAACGTATGCCTTCTCCACTTTATCAAAATACGGACTAATATCCTCCACTCGGAATGCAGGACAATTCGTATGGTATCATGCTCACGCTTACATCGTGTTATCTTATGTGGATGGTCACATATATGGCCCAACTACATCCTCCCATCAATAAGTTATGAAACTCGTTGTTACGATTTTATTGGCTAACGCATGAATTTCAGCGTCATATCGTTCAATGAAGGGCGGAGAGAGTTTTTGATGGATTCTACTCGCACGGTGTATTTCCAGTACCTCCTTGAATCGACACTGATGGACACGTAAAGCCTGTGGGTATGCACCCATAAGGAAGTAGAAGATTGTTTACCCTGATGATTGTACATAGGGCGCGAGGATCATGAAACGAATACGAAGGCAATATGGACTCTGGAGTAACCCGCCTTCAAGTCTAATTTATCATTCTCCTAGGCTACTATGCGTGATGGTGGGATGAAACATGCGCCGAACGACACGCAGCATCGGACATTGAGAGCAGTTTAGAGTGAGTGGTAGGAATAAATGATGGGTGGAATGAGTGGGCCTGTGGATGGAGTTCATAATGCTGTCGCAAATCACATTGTCAAAGTATTCTATGAGAATATGCTCGGCGATTTGGAGGACGGTAGTGTCTGAGTCATGAACTGTACGACAGTGGCCTGGGCACTCAACCGTGCTATCCACACTGTGAAGATGAAGGTACCGCTTGAGCAGAGGATGGAGTCTTCATTCATATTGGTGTGTGGTTTCATGTCGTATTACTTTGATACATGCTGGTATGGTCCTCGTCGAAAGCACACTCAGGCTGGAAGTACACTTGCACCATGCCGCCTAATGCTGGCACCAGAATGATGAATGCAATACATCAACTACACTGCAGGAAGAGCACAATAATTAAACCAGTGGGAAAGTGAATTCTGAGTATTTATCGCAAAGGTTTTCCTCACTCCCGCAACAAAGAACTGGAATTGGCATAAGCTCCCGAACATCATTTGTGGCCCTATGACCACGGGTTCGATTATCTTCATGTGCAATTGGGAGGCAACCCGGCAAAAAGTCGAATGTCGTTGAAACGTCTGGTCCAGCGACTACGCATGAGACATGCTCAAGATGAGACAGTGTATCATGAAACTCCTGGAACAGAAGTTGAGCCCATGAATGAGCGTCTCCACGTTTCCCTTCCAACCAGAATGTTAGCCTTTTTAAATTCGGCGCGCGTACTAGCATGCGATCAAGATGGTGTCCCCAGTAAAAGATTCCATAACGCCGATATTGACTAATTAGGCACTATACGGCTGTAAGTCATAATCCTGCTATAAATCGAATGAGTATTGCTGACCTGAGTGACCAAACCTGTCAGCGTAATTTCCTCAATATATTTGGAAATTGGTGTGAGGCATATTACTGCTGGGCACCAAATCATGAAATCAAATCCCAAATTCCTAACAGGTACTGTGGAGGTGTCGACAAAGTCGCTGAGCCGCATGTTGCTGTCCTGTACGTGTTTGCCTTTGAAGCGCACAGTGTGAACTGGACGTCCAGGCACGAGGTATTTTAACAACCAAAGGTCGGCGGAGACTTCCATGAGATGTGGCAGATATGTGGGAAGAAACATCACCTCGCGCCTAGGAAAGATATCTATTGTGGGCTGGCTAGTGAGAGCAAGATCGCGGATGCTATCCTGCCTATTCAAAAAGCTCAGGAATTGGCGATCAACAGGATAGGTGCAATGAAAAACGTGAAGCTCGGCATCACAGTACTGAAGGATGGAAGAATATACACGCTTTTTGGAATGGATAAGCTTGAGTGTTGAGAGGCAAGTCATATTTTTGAGGGCCAATATGAGATGATCTAGATGCACCTCGGGACCATCATAGACCATGATTGTTGGATATGTGAATATGAATGATTTGACTTTCTCTGCAAGATGGGGATGCTCTGCAAGCGTGGTGCAGATATCCGAATTGTCGACTGTGATGGACTCGTACAGAGAGTCAACCGCTGCATGATACAAGCCAGTGCACACTTGGCAGAGTGCAGCTAGGTCATTGGAGGAAAATTTGCCGAAAGAGAGAATGAGGAGCCACAGCTCGACAGGGAACTTCAAGTTGTTAGTCGGCATCAGGGGCTGAGCGCTGAGCAGCTTGGCGCTCATAGCGAATTTATTTGGAGTATCAATAATAATCAATTTCATACTCTGCAGAACTTGTCTTTGTAGACTTACATAATCATTACATCATATTTACACTCCCAGTAATCAAGTTACTGCATCAAAAATATATGTTTGCATTCAGCGTTCGGACGCGTTCAAACAGTTCAAGCAGGAACAGAGAACGGAACCAAGGGCTGGGCTCCCATGGGTCCTCGAACGTTGGACTGAACCACGGTCCAGTCTGCCAACAGTCCGGTTCGAACCGCGGTCCAGTGGCGGCCAGGAAAATGATTCACCACTACCAACGACGTATCACTCGTATCCTGACCACTGTAGGTAATCTGTCTGTTCGGGCTTGGTAACCCGCCCTTCACAGCTGTAATACCTTTTCACCCGAGTTTCAGGCTGTTGTTTCGGACCGTAAAGCCCTGCGGGGCTTTCATCCGGAACTTCGTTACATGATTTCCTTTTTGTTTTCCTACTGTCACTCATCATCTTTGAATTTCAGTCGTGCTTCTACATCCTCTTTCTCGAGTTAGACACAAAGCCTCGGATCACATAGACATACTTCTAACCCTACACTCGTACCTCGCCTCGGGGTAGAATACTAACTACTATCAAAGATATCTTCACTGAATCATGCCGCATCGTTCCAAACTCGAAGCTTTGAAAGCTTGGGAACGGCACAGATCGAGAAGCTCGATTGATCAATTGAAGATCGTGCTGTCTTGATATATGCGGGTATGTAGTCTTCTCCGTCACGGTAAGTTTCGGATCCCACTTGCTTTACTTTCGCCAGCTGACGACATTTAGCAATGGGATTAGGCACCCGACTCATCTGCTACTATCTTTGACGCTGTTGCATATCGATCGACCCAACTGAAATAGGTCAACTACTACTCATGCAATGCAGTCTTACACAGTGGAGCGGAAACTGGACAGGTTCGTTGAATTACCATTCCAGACCCAGTGTGTACCCTGATGAGTATACGAGGGATGATAGTATGGAGGACAGTCGCTATCACGTAGGATTCTTCAGACGTACCACTCAGTTACTTTCTCGATGTGGAATTGAAACTCATGGGTGAGTGAGATGAAGATGTTGTGATACCTATCTTAGCATTTTTGCTGATCCTTGGATCAGCATCATGCCGGTGCCAGCAGAGGAACGTCTCGAGACTCGGTGGTACCAGTTGTTTTTCATTTGGTTCTCCTCTTGCATGAATATATTGTCGTATGTTTTCAGTGCTGTCTTAATTCTGGCGCTATTCCCTAACCTACCTAACACCTCCAGATTCAGCACTGGCGCTGCTGGCCCTGCATTTTTTTCCCTGGGAGTTTGTGACTCCATAGCTATTATCGTCATTGTTGACCTAGTGTAAGTTAACAGTTTACGAAATTTTGATCTGCCAGCGATTGACCTTCAGCTAGATGCTGTTTACTGCCAGGATTCTTGTGGGTTTTTGCTATTCCTCTGCGCATTTCCGGGGACTTCATAATGCGCTAGTGCTGTTTTCGGGCCAAAGCTTGGCCTGCGAGCTATGGTACAAGCGAGGTACTCATGGGGGTGAGTTATTCTTCTGATTGCCAGTATCATTCCCTGACCGACATCAAGGTATTTCGGTGCCATCATACCGGCCGTCTTGAATGTTTTCTCCTCGGAAGGTTTCCTTATTCTGAACTGTATTATTGGCGGACAAACGATAGCCAGCTTGTCTTCTCAACTTAATGATACTCTTGGTATCGCCATCCTTGGTATCATATCTCTTGCGGTATGTCGGAATTCCTCCTGCCGCACTAAAAATGACAGGTTTCAAGGTCACTTTCTGTGGATACCGTATTATCCATTGGTGGGACCCCTCCAATATCAGTCATTCAGAATTCTGACGGAATGTTGATTCATAGGTACGAGAGTGTGGCATGGATCCCAAATGTGATTGCTTTTATCGCCATGCTGGCTGTCGGTTATCCACAGCTACGCGAAAACCTATCGGCCCCTGTCCCTCCAGCAACACCCGCTAATGTCATATCTTTTGCGTCCATTCTCGCATCTAACATGATCGGCTGGTGTCCCATGATTCCTGACTATGGCGTATACCATAGCCCTGACGTTTCTTCGTAAGTTTTCCTGAACCATCACCAGGGCTCTCCTTGACATCCCGATAGTGCGAGAATTTTTATTTACACGTATCTTGGGTTCTTCGTGTCTAATGTGAGCCATTTATGTTGATATCAGTTGCACCTTGACAATTTTCTTTAAAAAGGTGACTGGTCAGGCTCTGGGTGCCGCATTCGCAGCAGCAGCTCCGAGCGTGCCTGCTTGGAATGCAGGATTCGATAACAGCTCTTCCGTCGGTGGCTTGTTACACAGCGTCTTGTTACCTACAGGCGCATTTGGAGAAATCCTGACTGCTTTGGTCGCTCTCAGCATATCTAGTGCCTGTGCACCAACGATATATACGTTCAGCAACAGTTTCATGGCCATTTCTACGTGGTTTGCTGCGGTGCCCAGATGGGTATATATCCTCATGTCAGAGGGAATGTAGGTGTCATCAAGTGAATGTAAACTTCGGGGACGCTCATGATTTGGGTTCAAGTCTGATACCAGTGGCCATTGTTGGTTCCAAAAAGTTTTATGCTACCTTTGTTGACATCCTTAGTACAAGTCTCAAATATCGGTATCTATTGTAAGCGCTAACATCATGATCTCTCAGATATCGATGGATATTGGACATCAGCATTTTCTGCGATAATACTCACAGAGCATATGTTATTCCGACGAGCCTTGTTTTCTGAGGACCAATATCCCGTCACGACTTGGGCTTCATATGCTTTCTTGCCTAGCGGTATCCCCGCGGTAGTGGCCTTTGTGTGCGCGTGTGGAGCTGTTGTTCCATTCATGTCACAGGCTTGGTATGTAGGACCAGTAGCGAGGCAGGGCAGTGGAGACGTTGGTGTGTTTGTAGGGTTTGTGGTCGGAGCTATCACCTATGCGTTGGCGAGGAGTTTCGAGAAAATACTATACAAGAAGATGGGTAGAGCAGATGCTTACTAGTACTTTGATCGATGTGTACATGAGTTGCCTTTGACTGGAGACAAGTTATTCTTGATTGGTGCCAACTCCCAGGCCTCGATCCTTCTGGCAACTTGAATATTCGATGATGATAACGTATATCTGACTTGGATATAGTTACCCCACACTTGATCAAACTTGATCATACAATCACACATGACGTGACGGCGGAGTCCGCTGCCGCTGCGAAAATTTGAGCTGCTAGCCTATAAATACACGAATCAGCGAAATCACGGGTATGATGGGAGCACATTGGGAATTCGAGGGTTATCACCAATGTGGTATCTCCGCTTCGCAATGTCGGTGTCACGACCTCCGCCCGTTCACCTTCGCTGTCATTTGTCAAACGACCATGAACAGACAGTTGCAAAAATTAATCTTTCGTTGTAACGCCAACATTTAATGACCCAACCTCGCTCCCTCAGTTGCACGCGTTCTTGTTGGAAGTTTTGAGATGAAGGCCTATCGTTCGCATAGGTAGATCAGTAGATTTCGGCACGCTCGTGCATGACGCTGACTCGTAGTTGACACATAAGTCAAGGTCACGTGCGCGTGTTGATGGGAACGCGTCGTCGGAGTCAAACTGTAGGTCCACAATCGCCACATCAATCCACATCAGATTGATCAATGGTCCACTGCATTTGCGCCGCATCGGTCGACCAGATATAAGGCAAGCAGAAAGCAGTTGTTTTTCTTGTCCTCTTAATTTTTTCCACTTTACCAGTTCTGCTGACAACACTCCGTCAGCGTAATCATTGAACGCCTAGCATCATGTCCCCTGCTGGCGAGACAGGCACATCGTCTACTCCGCCACGCGCAAATGCACTAGCTCATGGTGCTAGCAAAATAGAATCGACCCCAAATAGCCGCGGGACTGCCGTCGTCAGCGAGAACATCGGCGTGCTCGGTGTCAAGTGTGCACATTCCTATTTTTATTGAGTAGCAACTGACATTCTATTAAGTGTTAAGAAAGTCCGCCCATGGATTCAACGGGATATTGAGCAGGCTAAGGAGTGCAAAGCAGATGCCATGTTGCAAGCCCTCCTGCAGCGCGCTTCTTCCACTCCCGAGACTCGACAGCCCGAGCTTCTGCAGAAGTGCCTGAAGGCAGTTCTGCCGGTTTGCAATGGACAGGTATCCGCTGGGGATATACACTCTTCGGGCGTCGAGACAGCCCTGAAAAAATAGTAAGTGCTTTTTCGCCGATCGGACAGTTTCATGCTTACAATGATTGCAAGCGTACGTCCAGGAGTAGAAAACAACCTCTACGCCCCTTTTATAGAAGCCACCAATATCGCGCTCGCTTGTCTTGAAGATATCAAGGTCGATAGGATGCGCGCTCCTGTCCCCGCCGTGGACATGATCTGTCAGCAGAACGATATGCCCATGTACCAAAACCACCAGACTGTTAAATCAGCTCGGAAGCCCGACCTCGTCTTTCTTCCTTTGAACAGCGCATGTACTCCCTTCGAGGATGAGAAGGGCGGTAAGAAGGGAAAACAGAAGGACGACGAGAAGCGCAAGGCTCATATGGTCAAGAATGCAATGGCAAAGCCACCAGCGCCACTCCCCTGGAAAGATGTTCTAGCTTGCATCGAGTTCAAGAGAAAAACGGACAGGAAGAAATCGATTAAACCGCCGCAATCTTCGTATAAAGTGAATGACTATGTTCCTACCAAGCCAGAATATCTGCCGGTGGATCATCTTAAGGCTGAAGATTTTGCGCCAGGCCCTTCGCAGGCCGCAACACAACCTGCGCCTGACACTGCAAGTAAGTGATTGTATTTTTTTGCAAGATCAAACTAAATCTGCCGAGCTGCAGTCGTATCTTCCGGCCTTACTGCCGCACAGGCTTCCAAGGGCGGGTCCAGCTCCAAGCGCAAGGCCGCGGACACTTTGCAATCCGCTCCGAAAAAATCCAGGATCGACCCCGACGAGCCAGATGTGACCGTCCAGACGGGTATGTACGCGGCCGAAATGTTTGCGGCCAATCTTGCCGTCAATCACCTGATTAATCTTATCGTCATCGGTGGGTTCGTTCGTCTGTCAAGAGTGGTCGCGCTCTTATCACCGCTGTTTCAGACGATGTAATGTGGATCTGGTATTATGATCGTCAAGGGACCATTCAAAGCTCGGGCATCAACTTCATCCAAGATCTCCCGCGATTCATGGTGCTGTTGTATGCTTTACAACGATTCGAACCTCAGGATTGGGGCCGAAACAAGGATTTCCTCCCAGTTCAAGTTGAGGGGAAGCGATGCCATGAATTCAAAATCAAGGACGCAGAACTTGGAGAGGTGGATCTGCTGCTTCACACCAGCCACGACGAAAGCGTGACACACTACGGATTGCAAGGACGGGCAACCAATGTAGTCCCTGTCACTAGCGACGCGCTGGCCAAGAAATACGAAAGCATCCAGGATGGGATGGTGGCTAAGATATTTTGGGGAGAGGCAAATCGCACTAGCGAGCCGGAAATCCTGAAAAGAGTTGAGGAGATCGCCAAGGCGCACGATACCGTCAAAGACCATATTCCTGAGTTGCTCTGGCACCACACGATCACGAATCCTACATCCGCCATCCGAGAAGCACTAGGTGTTCCGGAACCCACCACGGGCAGTCGCGTGCTCTACATTCTCGTATTCCGCAAGCTCCACCCCATCACGAAGCTTCACGGCAAAGAGCTTTTCGACGTGTGGTATCAATGTATCCTGTGTATGTATTTTTATCGTATTTATGAGGCTCCTCGTTGATATAGCATGTAGGCCACGTTACGTTGTGGAAGCAAGGTGTATTTCATCGAGATGTCAGCCCTAGCAACCTGATGTGGTACTGGAAAGACGGGAAGCGGATAGGCGTTTTAAATGACTACGATCTATCCTCGTTGGCGGATGACCCAGCTCCTCGGGGAAACGAGCGCACGGGCACGGTGCCGTTCATGGCGCTCGAGCTTCTCTCCGCACAGGGCCAACGAGGCGAAATTAAACACCTATATCGTCATGATTTGGAGTCGTTTATGTGGTGCTTCGCCTGGATTTGCTTGCGTTACGAGAACGGAGCCCCTCTACCAGAGGAATCGCGCCCGAGCCGGTTGGATGACTGGGCCACTTCTGGCGCCGTGACATGTGGCATGCTTAAGCTATACTTCCTGAACAATCTCAAAGAATACCGATCCCCTCACATAAAGTCACTTATGTGGGAGTTCCTTGTGGAGTGTTTCGATGTGCTTGACACGCACACCTTCAATCGACGCAAACAACTATTACGATCGACAAAAGGGGGAGACCAACCGATCAACTTTGAGGAATCAGAATTAGATATCGATGGTTTTCTACAGTCATTCAAAAATACCGAAAGCTGGGCGGCGCTCAGCAAACCTCTACGGGAACCTTCACAGTGATTTTCTTTACTTGTTACACTATCTACAGTTTCTGGGTTCCGATACTTGCGTTAATTGCCTGTGTGCGCTTCGTCTCCGGTAGGTAAAGCGATTGAATAGATGGATGATAGTGACTCACTATTGCGCATAATGAAAAGTGTCTTGTTTAGTGATGGCGGCCGATTACAACAAAAGTACAGCGCGCTCCTAGGACCGAGGAAATACAACTAATGTACACTTGATAATTACAGGTCGCAATAGAGCGAAGGACCACAGACGGACACGCTTGCTGGACACACTTGCAAGTCGTGAACTCCCATACTTTGTGCCTCAAATCACCAAGGACTTTGGTCCACGTCGTCCTCACCGAGATCGCGAGAGATCATCAAAGACCATGTTTCCTTACAGCGTTCTATAACCAAACCAAGGGTAGTTGCCTGCTCTACATCCTTATATTCCGCAAGTTCCGACCCGTTGAAAGATCCGTTGCAGGTCACCATGATACCTGAAATGCAGCGGTCAGTCGTCGAGATGATGTCGTCCTTGGCAATATTCTATATTATAGATCGAAAGACACCTTGATATGCATCTTAAGCGACCATAATCTGTCGACTGTGGCAGGTCCTGAGTGCAACGAGCGCACGCCATTCAAGGCGCTTGATCATCTCACCACAGAGGAGGCGAAGTGGAGTACCTATGTAGTCATGATCTCGAGTTGTTCATCTGGGTACTTGTGTGGGTTTGTCTGCGTTACAAAGATGACATTCTCCAATCGCCGGAGTCTCGCGCCTTCATATTTGGGCCATTGCAAGTGCCGAAGGATGTGGGGAGTATGCATGCTCCAGGAAGTTGGGGTATTGCAATCAGGTGAAGGTGCGCGCGCTCCCCCTTTCCTAGATAGAAATGTCCTACATATGGTACAACACCCCAACTGGACAATAATTGGATTCAAAAAAAGGTACGCACGGGGGTGCGAGGGCAAAGGGAGGTGGACTTGATGACGATGATATTTCATCAGTGAACCTGTGAACAGATGATAATGATATTTAAAGCAATATATTGTTGAGCATTGCAACAATCAACGTAAATTTGTCAACCGCTTTCACATGGGAATGTTTGGCATTATTGAGGAATGACCAATTTGCAAGCATACAGGCCTAGCAGCTCTGTTTGCTTCGGGAAATTTTTCACTTAAATGGGTCTAAGAAACAATGCGCCAGCACAGGTTCATGTTGTTAAATATGGACCTAGTTTGAGAGGGACAAGGAAGGAGGTTGCAATGTGCAGAAGTGAGGGATGCTTGGCTGATGCTCAACCATGACGAGGACATGTGTCATTTGGTCTTCACACAATATATTTTTGCTAGCTGAGGATGATTACAACGTTAGGGTAACCTGCTGTAGAGTAAAGTGTGAGCCTGTGTTGCGAAATATCAGTAGTAAGAGCTGAGTTGTACATATAAAATATTTAATTGTCAACCATCGCATAGAACAATCCATTGCATGGACCACAAACAGTGTTCCAAGGTATGTCAGAGTAGACCTTACTTCTCAATGGATAGACTCATCAGCAAAACCCTAAGTTAAGGTCCCCCCATTTACAGTGCTACATAGTACCATACAGCACCACACAGTGCCACACAGCACCATACAGCACTGTAACAGGGGGGACCTTAACTTAGGGTTTTGCTGATGCATCTGTCTATATCGAATGATTATTGGTCGAGTGTCATTACAAATGGTATATTGCATGGTGTTACAGTTACGCTTGCCCCTATTCATTTTCTCTATTTCTCTCTGTGTATTATGTCATGACCGCGCCACCTTGCGCCATCACTAGACTCATCTTCTACTATATTTGTATTACATCATGACCGCCATTGCTGTCGCTAGATGACTCATCTTTATCTCTGACTCATCACTGATGTATATGCACCTGCCCTAAAGCACTTATGTCCTATATAAACCTGGTCATGTACTTAGTAAATCCTTACTTTAATCTTACTAGGTTTTACCAGAACTTCCCTCGCTTAAGACCTCCAATCTTAAGTTGTCAGGAAACCGATATTCAAGTCAGAGACACTCTCTTTGACTTGTCTTACGAACATTGCATTTGCAAGGACTTGACTATAACATCAGCTGTTGCTCTTATCGAGCTGCTGATTGTTACGACTATCCTAGTCCATAACACATGGAGCACAGACAATATCCTAAGTTATGTTAGAGTAAGTATCACTGCTCAGTGGACACTGAGTTGCAATAAAATAAAAACAGCAAAGCCGTGTGCATGAAATGTTTGTTTGTAGACTGTTGCACAGGATGATCCATTATATGGAGCACAAATACTGTCCTGAGGTATGTCAGAGTGCATATAATTTCTCAGTGGATAGATTTCTTACTCTGTTGCCAAAAAGCAATAGTTGCCTAGTGGAAACTTTTCAGAACATAATACTGCATCAAATCTTTTCTTTAGGCTACATCAAAAATTTAAAATTTTGCTCAAGTGTACAGAACTTGTGGTTGTGACTATGTTTATTGGTGATCCAAATCTTGGTGTAGGGCTGCAAGTATAGACAGTGGCAGTGCAAAATTGTAATTCACACAATCTTTGGCACCTTCACAATCACACTCCTTCCTGCCTCTCACTGCTGAGCTACCTCACAAGTACCCCAAGGCAGCCTGATTATAGTTTTTGAGCATTACCTGGTCTTATTCCATAAATAACTAATTGGAGGTTTTGCTGCACTGGTACTTAGTTGCCGCAATAGAGACCAGGCTATTATTGTGGATGGAGACGAGAAATTTTTACCAGCCAGGGAAGATAACCCTCATAAGGATTTGAGAAAAAGGAAAGTTGGCATTGTGTAACCTGGCATCTTGGCTTGAGAATATGTAATGGTGTGCTTTCAATAACACTTCATTGGATGGATCACCAGCATTCTAAATTAACAATTCAACGAGCTGTGGAGTTCTTTGGATTCTAGACAGACATTTTCAGATCTCAGGGTATCGGCCTCATCATCAATAATTCCATGCTCTTGGGACAAATAACTATCTTGTTCCATTGCTCCAGGACCATCCTAGTCTGACCACTGGCAAATTCTGATCATGTATATTAAAATTGGCTGTCATTTTCGGATCTCAGGGTATTGACCTCATCATAAATAATTTGATGCTCCTGGGATGAATAACTATCTTGTTCCATTGCTCCAGGACCATCCTAGTCTGCCACTGGCAAATTCTGATCATGCATATTAAAATTGCCAATCATGTATCTGTGTGGTGTGCTTTGTCACATACCACACACTTTACATATCAGAAAATAGGTGCATCAGATTTATCCCACACACAAATCAGGAGACATTAACATCACAATAACATTAGTAACCAAGGGTATAATGTAGGATTGAAATAATGCAATGGGGAAAAGAGGATATAGTGATCAAAGCAAAGGCAACATAGTGTGTAGAGTAGGACAAGCAAGAAAAAATCAGTCAGAGTTGAATGTGGCATCCTCCATCCACTGTCTCTGAGCAGTGAGACTATTGACAGACATGTGAATAATAACATCAGGCATCAAGTCCTGACAATGGTTTCTTCCAAAAACTTTTCTACACAGAGACTTAGTGATCCAGGGGAGTCACTGATGAGGTTGATGACTTACCTGGTCCACCAGTCAAGAAGCTTGTTCACCCTTGCTAGCACAACTGGACCTGGGGGATCCTCAAAGAAGTCTACAATGTTGTTTCAAAAAATGTGATAATCAAAATCTCCATCCATAGTGCACCAGGAGGTGGTGTTGGAAAGCATGAATTGGATCAGGAGAATTAAAATTTCAACTTTGATGCGGTAAGAAAGCATCGATGCTTACTTGACAAGCTGTATATGCAATCATGTGAGGAGTCACCTTCCTCATGCCTATGATGGAGGCAATGCATGTCTTTACTTTGGCATGATCTGATCATCTCTGGGTGTGTGGGTTGTTCTCAACAACACCAGCACCATCACCATCACCATCACCATCCACTTCATTGGCAGAGGAGGGAGAGGTGAAAATGGCTTTAAAACCCTGCAATGTGATGTGTGATAAATTAGTTGAAGAATATCAGGCAACTCACCATAACCAATAGTTTGGACTTAAAGAGACCATGGTCCAGATTCATGGCATCAGCTTCATAGTTCTCATACATAAATGACAGCCATGAGTTTTCAGAAACAATGAATGCAGTTGTATGGTCATGAATGCTGGCCTTGACACTGATAAAATTTCAGCAACATCTGAGGTCAGACAAGGACTATCACTTACATTGGGTCTTCCCAGCGCCATTCTGCTGGGCAGAGTAGTTTACTGCATGCATCATGTGCAAAACCTCATTGGTGCTTGTTGTCTGTTCTGATGAGCGAAGGCAGATGACACTCAATGTTGACTCACAAAGCCACAAGTTCTTTGAGTGTTCCCATATCATCACCATGAGCTGAGTCTCCGCCTCGCTTGAGCTACATTAACAATTAGCAAAGAAGCACAACAAAGATACTGGGGCTGAGGACCTTCTTAAGCATGTCTTCTGACTCCTTGAAATCAAGACCTGCTAGCTTCTCATGAAACCACAGCAATGCCTTGGTGAGCTCAATGTAGCCACACTGAAGATGCTTTTGTGTTAAGGTTGCATGCTCGAGGGGGTTGGATCACAAGGGCTTGGCCTCAGCTCGTACGCTGTGCCCCTTTCCTGAGTATGTGCCCTTAATTTCTGGGGGCTAGAACAGTCATCCGGAGTTTCTGGGATTTGACTGGGGCGGATAACGGACGTCTGGATCTGAGACGTGAGATAAATCCGATGGACATCCAGATGTTACCTGGGCAAGCGGATAAGACTAATCCGGACGAAGTCTGGACTAGAAACTAACAGAGGATGGACTACCCTGAGGTAGAGTCGGCAATGTAGTCTAGGATGCAATCCTAAGACTCAGAATATGACAAGAGACTTATCTCGAGTCCAGAGGACACAGGAATGAGCAGGAACTAAGATGATATTTGAACTGGAGTATTTCCGAGAGTTACAGGAGGTTTATATACTGTAGGTATTATATAGGAATCAGTCAGCAAACATAAAGGCTATGTATGAAGTATATGCAGAGTCCATTAGTAAGTGGGATGGATCACAAATAATGAACACTGGAAATGAAATGTATGTAACGGATCAATAATCAAAAGGGAAACATGGTTAACCGGAATCTGGAGACAGGGGCAGTCTAAATGGAGTTGGGCGCTGATATAGGGCTTGGATTCTGGAAGGGAGATAAAGATAGATCAGATCATTTGAGATCCGGATCTCGGATCTGGATATCCAGAGAAGCGGATTTAGAGTTGAGAGTCCAGAATGGCATATGACATTTTGTCTGTTCATCTTTAGAAAAAAACGAGGTGACACGAACATGGATGGTTACTCAATCATGTAGTTGCTGTCTATGTCTTTACAATGCCAGTCATTGTCAGCAACAAGGTCCTCTATTGGAGTATAAAGGACAACCATCCTATGAAGTGCTCATCCCTACAAAACATAATAGGTTGTTTTCATACAATCAGAAGAATTAAATTGCCTTGATAGGCTGGGAATGTGCACACCTTCGCTTTGTCGCTTTGTCCTGCTTCAAACTTTCGACCTCCTCCATGAGGGCGGCAATCTTTTGCTTCACCCAAGCTTCAGCAGATGTTGAGACACAAAGTGATACCACTGGGGGAGCAGGAGGGAGGCTGCCCTTGCAGTTGTTCTCAGCCATCAACAAACCAGAGATGCATTGGGAGGAAGGTGAGAGGTGCAGAAACAATGTGGAAAGTGAAATGAAGAATGAAAGCTCCTGTGAGGTCACCACCTTATATACGTGCCATCTACTAGTATGCTGATGAGCTGATAAAAGGTGAGGCACTGAATGAATTTGTCTCAAATAGGCAGTGGAATTGTTTCCTTACTTGGTAGCCCAGAAAGGGTTCTTCACGTCAATCAGGAAACACATAAAATGGTGGGCTGTGTCCTGACCTTGTTCAGTGATCCAGTCACAATAACCAGAACCTAATATAAAGTGAAGATGTCAAATGAATTGGTCTCAAATAAGCAATGGGACTCCTGCCTTACATGGTAATTGAGAAAATGTTCCTCATGTCCAATGAGATTGACTCAGTCCATAGTTGCCCAAGTATCTGCCAATGAACATGACATATCTGCCCCATAGGCACAGTGCGTGAACGTATACTGACCATCAGTGTACATGCCAGGGTTTGCACATTTGGGATGCCTGCACATAATACAGACCAGAGGCTCATTTTGGGTGTGGTGTTGTTTGAGCCTAGGAACTTGATGACTTGAAGTAGGTTCAGTTTCCACACTGTATGAGGTTGAAACCATCTTGGAGGGCATTGTAGGTACTTTGGAGGTACATGAGATGTTTCAGGAAGTGGTGCATGATCATCGTGTGATCAAAGTGATCAAGCAATTATTGCAAGCAACCACAACTTGAAGATAAGGACATCAAGACATAATGTCCCAGGTGTTGCAGTATTCAGTGTGCTACCCCAGTACCACAGGGCACCAGATCTGCATAATGCAAGTGCATAGTACCCAGACTTCAGTGGCAGCACCCTAAAGAACAAAAATCAGCTGCATATAAAAGGCCTCAAAAAAATGATGTACCACTTCGTTGTTAAGGTCATACTCAAGGGTTAACAGATCCTAAGGGCTTCAGCCTCAGCTCGTGCGCTGTGCCCCTTACTCGAGTATTGCCCCTTATTTCAGGAAGGCAAGACTAATGTGTCCGGAGGGTCAGACAGGTAGCATAGCAGATCTGGATGACTTCTGGATGAGGGATAAGTATTGTAAGACTAATCTGGATGAGTCCAGACTAGAAACTAGCGGTAATGGCTGTCGTAGACAGAGGCAGATGCGGATAGACTATAGGAATCAATCCTAAGTCTCGGAGGGGGACAAGAGTAGTGGCACTCAGGTCTGGAGGATGGGAATGGGCAGAACTAAGTTGATATTCAAACCGAGGTGCTACAGAGAGTTACAGGAGGTTATATACTATAGGTATCTAACAGAATGATCAATCAGCAGAGTCTGAGGCTATGTATGAAGCATATGGATAGTCTATTGGTAAGTAGAAACAGATCACAAATCATGAGGTTGGAAATGAAGCATAGGTAACAGATCAGGGAGCAGGACAGATATACAGATAGCCAAAATACCGGAGTTAGGGGATTACTGAAAGGAGACAAGCACTGGTTGTGGATTCAGATGAATTATGGACTGGACTGGACAAGTGGACAGATTGGATGACGAGATGTTGGAGGGAGATAAGATGTGGATTGGATCTGAGATGAGATAAGGATTGGATCTGAGATCCAGATATGCAGATATGACATTCATCTCCAAAGTTCAAACCAAAGAGAATATAAGCAACAGCATATAACCAAGTGGTGATGTCCAATAAGGTGGCTTGAGTCCCTTGAAGTTTCAGTGACAATGATGGAAGGCCAATCAAAAAAAATGTTATGCCATAGGAGAGCCAGGGAGCAGAAAGAACATAGACAGAAGGCTTCAATCAGAACATCGTGTACCAAACAAAAGACAAAGCTAAGAGTACAGCACTAAGAACATATAGCTGGAGCTTGTTCTGGTAATTTTGACCAGTGAGCAAAGTCATCTGGTAGCTATCTGCAGCAACCATCTTAAGAACAAGTGTGAGCTGATGGATGAGGATCAAAAATCAAAAGGTCTTACCTGGCTGAGAGTAATGGTGATACTATACAACAGCTAGCCTTCAATTTGTTGAGACATGGCAATTTGAACTTTGTTCATGACAACCATGTTGCCATCAAATTCCGGCTCTGGATTGAATGGGTGAGAGCTAAGTGTTCTTGGGGTTATACACATGGTGCCAGTAACAATTCATGTCCACAAGAAGGGTGCAGGTGACATATTGAACATGAATGCTCATTGAGTGTGGAGTGCTTGTTGATCATGAGAGTACCAGACATGCTCCAGATAGACTCCCAGTGCAAGAAAATGTAACTGGCTTCACTGGACAGCTTGTCTCACCTCACACGTTTGAAGAAGGTCCCCTCAAACTTGACAAGGCTTCTCAATAGAGAGATCACCCATGGAATTATTCAAGTTCAATGCTTGCAGCTTTTGCATGAACTCTGTACCCAGGCTGACTACTAGTCGCAACACTATGCCTCCAGGAGAATTCCTCATCAGAAGCATCCAATGTGTATGCAGAGTTGTGGTTGAAATTGAAATGAGGTAGTGCTGTCAGGAAGCCCTCATCATTGGGTATTGCAACCTGGCTCCACTGTCCAGGAGAACTAGGCATCAACCTTGGAGATGACATGATACTTTGGGTGTCCCAGTCAGGTTGGACAGGCAGTCCTTGCTTAATAGGGTTCCAATATCCCGTTTCTGGAACAACACACTGGGAGGCAGTCCTGCAGTCCACCTCCCACCAAGCATTTGAACCAGCTAGCCTTTGGCTCACAAATATACTCCCAGTTTGGTGCATGTCTTCCATCCACTGAAGCCATTTGACAACTCTGGGAAATGCTGAACAGCTGACTGTCATATCCCACAATCCGGACTCACATTCCATCATATTCCCACGCCTTCCAAGCCTATGTCTGGACCCCACTTCATATCCAACTCATTCCCAGATCCCCTTCTGCTGTGTGCTCCACACCTCAGCAGGATCAACCATGCTCTGGATTTACCCCTGAGCTCCAGACCATCGGATCTCCACTGCTAGCCTGATCCATACCCCCCTGTCCCATCCACCCTATGCACACTCCATCCAGCAAGACATCCAGACTTCACCAATCAAATCAGCACCTTTCTGCTTAGACCACCGACCAACAAACACAGACAGATCAGAGTTGGAATCCTGCTTGATATTTACCCATTCCTGAGCTTGCCTCTTTATCTCCAGACGCTGCACCTCAGCAGCATGATCAATCTGCATATCCCACATAGCCACCGCATTCTCATCCAAAGCTGCAACATCACAGTAGGATCAGGATTAGGCAGTGAATCAACATGCTTAAGGGTCCACAGAGCAGGATACTGCACCCAACTGCACTTCCCATACTTATCTGACACACCAGTGACACTGACGCTCTTTTGGTGAATGCTGATAAATGATGCAGCAGTGTGAAGCAGGTTAAATGTGTTTTTGAACTGGATGTATTTTGTACAGTGCTCTTTGCTAATGTTGAATGCAGAGCAAATTTCTTTCACTACTTCCTTTGTTTGGAATGACCATAGATCCTGGAATTTGCAGTGAGAGACAGACAGATACTACTTTGGGCAGGAGTGCACCATGGTACTCATTGGTGTGGTATATGTTAATGATGTGGAATTGGCGGATGGTGGTTGTAATGGTCTAGTTCCATGTAGAGTAGAAGATGATGGAATTGAGATCATCCATGTAGGCTGGGTATGGGTCTGACTTGGTCTGTCCACAGAAAACAGGGCTGTTGAGGATAACATAAGTGATATTGTCCAACACATGCATCTCCACTTCAATAATTGGTAGTGCTTGTTGAAGATGACAACCTCAATAGGGTCACCAGTGGGATAGCCCAGGTCCTTGACTGTTGGAATGACCCAGATCAAGTTGACATCCATTATGGCTTTCCCCATGAGTGACAACATCACACCAAGACATCAGAGCTTCCAGTCAATGATCTCATACTCAAGTATGGCAATGGGGACTTTGTGCCACTTAGTCTTGTCCTCTGGCCATTCTATCATCTTCATGTTTGACTTGCTCCTGAAGATCTTCTCTGTGATTGGTCTCATGTTCTCCCCTGAAGTCCATGGTCAACTTGTTGCAGAGTGATCCGATGATAGGGAAATACTTGCTTGTGCTGGTTTTCATCTTCATGCCATAGAAAGTACAAATGAAAATGAGGATTGCAAGGACTCTGGAAATAAGGGAGATAGAGCAGGGAACATATATGATAGCTCCCCCAGAAGCCTGGCCATGAGGCTCAAGGGTCCAGTCAACATGAGATCATCAACAATGAGTGCCCATGTGAGTGCTGGAGGGGGCACTGATCTGTCAGGTAGTTGGGCGCAATGCTGTTTGGTGGTAGCCAGTCCATAATGCCATCAGCATCAATGTTGCCATGATAGCAGTTTGAATTGCACCTGGACATGTTGAGTTGCAAGTACATTGGGCATATAACCATAATTTTGAGCCCTCAAGTGTTATCACCGATTAGGTTCATCTCATACCCTTGTCACAACCCCAGTCATTGAAAGGATCTCAAGCAAGGAACTATGATGGACAAACATCATGGTGATGTTCATCCATCATTTGCAGACCAATTTTGATGATTGATCGTTCATGAAGGTGGTGTTGGGGGGCATTCAGCTCTTTAAGTTATGCTGATTTCAGGTCCCAGAGTGTCCACAATGTTAGTTGGAATGTCAACAAAACCCCTTTGTAAGAAGCAGCATCATTGTCTGGGCCTGGGTCCCTGATGCCTGGAGTAGCACAAACTAGAGGTGATACTCTTTGGTGAACATCAAAAACCATAACTCATAGGTTGGGTGTTTTTTGTTTACCCATGGCTGTGACTATGTTGGAACAGTGACACAATCACAGGTTTATGATGCTCAAGTTGAATAGTCTGAAAGGTTTTCATTCTTGGCACCAGTGACAATAGCGATGATTCCACATTCAGGTGCTTGCAATTGCTGATTATTATGAAGTGTGTTATGCTCAGCATTATAAGAACATCTTGACGAAAACAAAGAGTTGAAAGAGTCTTTGGAGAATTACTTCAAAGAGTCTTTATAAGTGTGAACCTATTCATGAGTTGTGCAAGTTAAGCAGTATATTGCAGGCCCTGGTCTGCATAGGTCAAGTTAAAGAATACAAGTATAAGAGATAGAAGTTAAATAGAGAGATTAAAGCGGAGCTTTAATAAATAAATCAGAGATAGAAAGTAAATAGTGAATCAGAAAAAGAGAAGTGGAATCATATGATGGAATATGATAGAATGTCTAAGAATGATTAGTAATGTGAAGAGGTAAAAGGGGAAAAGAGATAACCATAACAAAGTGACTATGACACTGATAACATTAGTATTATGCCCCAAGGCTGGTAAAGCACAAATTAGAGTTGCAAGAACCAGTCATGTTGCTGAATGTAGGGTCAACAAGGGCTGACAGACTTTCAGGTGTGAAGAAACTTGAGATGCAGGTTTCTTGGTGGAGTATCAGTGTGATGACATCACATGGGGAATGTTATGCTAATGCTAAGTCTGCAACATGCAGACAAAACAAGTAAGTAACATAGGACTTGGATTGGGGCTCGCACCAAGCCTGCTGCAACCAGCAAGCATTCATAGGTATGAGTTCACAGCAATTGATCTAGCTGCAAGGGCTACAATCAATTATCAATGATTACGACAGCGAGTTGTCAATTGTTCTCTTTTCAAGGCTAAGGATGTTGGTAGTGATGAGCTCCAATGAAGGTACTTGATAAAGAGGAGAGCTTGCTTAGGGCTCAAGGATAAGACAGTATGAACCAAGTAGATTCAAGTTAGAGAATACAAGTGCTACCCGTAAGGTATATATACCATTGGAAGGGATAAGTGTTACGAACTAGGATAGTTCTAATGACAGACAACTCAATAAGAGTCAGGACCTCTGCTGAGATTCTACACGAGACGATAAGTCAAGCATTCAGTGTAATGCTAAGACAGAAGGAGTGCTTCTATCTTAAAGTACGGTTCAGATGACAAGAGATTGGAGGTCTCAAGCAAAGGATGTTTCAGGTAAAACCTAGTAAGATTAAAGTACAGAACTAAAGTGTACAAGAGGACTATACATAGTGAACTACAAGTGCTTTAGGGCAGACGTGAGAAAGGATATGAGTCAGAGATAAAGGATGCATAAGTGATAGCAAGAATAGGTCACCTAATGACAGCAGTGGCGATCGTGATGTAATACACATGAGTCAGAGATAAGTCTAGTGGTGGCAGCATGCGGCATGTGACATAATACAGCGTAAGAAGAAAGAGAAAATGAATAGGGGCATACATGATTGTAACAATAAGGGCAGGTCTGCCATATTAGTGGTAAGGGTAGAGGGTGAGTGAGTCACAATGAGTCAGGATACCAAAGTAAGTAGAAAGTACTGGTTGAGCGGTAAGGGTAAAGGGTCGGTAAGTCATTGGATGAACTGAAGATAGGGTACAACCAACAGAATGGTTGGTGGAATAATCAAGAAGAAAGAGATAGAACAATCAAGAAAGAGAAAAGGGGCGATTGCCCAAAGAGGAAGGGGTCCAGTGAGGGTGCAAGGCAGGAAAATGAATAGGGGCCAAACAAGTGGATGTTACTGTAACAGGGAACAAGCATGGGGTATGTGTCGTTCACAAACATATTTATGGTCAGAATGAAAGTTATAGGTATGAGAGTTGGAAAGAGCCATGGGACTCAATTCTAGGATACTACCATAGGTCATATAGCTGGAGTTAAGTTGGCATGCCAGTCAAGAGCTTAGCATGAGTCGACCTGCACAAGTGGCTGGTTACATGAATCTCCAAAGTCTGACCATTCTCAAAATGAGAGCTTATCTGAGTCAATCTCTTCTTCAACTTCCTCTCCAAAGTCATCAAGCCCATCATCAGACTCCCCCTCTTTTTCATCCTCAATTTCATTAAGTTCATCCTCTGACTCCTCATCAGCAAGGTTGACATCCATCCATTGCTCATTGCCATCTATTTCATGACCCTCACCATCACCTCCCCCTTCATTGATATCCATAGTCTCCACCTCCACCAGTATTGATGACTGGAGGCCAAAACAGTCTCTGACAGTGCGCAGCAATGCAACCAGGTGTCCTACACCCAGGTCAGTTTATCACAAAAACATATTGCAATTGACAAAACTAGTTCTGTCAGGTAAGTCATCCCCTGACAAAAAGACACACTACACTCACATCCCAACATAATACACTTCCCAGTCATCCAGTTCTCCCTTAGGACAAGCTAATGACTTTCCATGGTGGAGTGAGCTCACACTGCACCCAGGAGTGAATGCTGGAATCAAGTGAATTCCTCAGATCACTTGGCCTGGGTCAAGAAACCTGAACACATCATGGTCTGGCTCCTCCACAAATGCCACCTTAGGAAGGCAGGTGCGCTGCATGCCAGGCTGATAAGATGTCAATGGTGCAAGCTATCTGACATGAAGGATATTGAGGTGCTGTTTTGTGGATTGACCACCTCCTTGGAGCCACATGTGTTACGATACGCCCTGCCCTACCATACTTTTTCTTCTTGTCATCTGTTGTTTCTGTCTGACTCATGCTACATTTACTGTATTATGTTGTGTGCTGCTACTGCCACCATTAGATGCCATCTACATGTTTCATTCTATGTGTATTTCCTTTCTTGTATCTTTGACTTGTCGCTTCACCCTTATTAGGCACATGCTCATATCTTTACCTACTTGCACCTGCCCTAAACCTTCCATAGCTATTCCCTATAAATACACGACTCTACACTGTGTAGTTCTTTACTTTAATCTTACTAGGTTTTACCTGGAACATCCTTTGCTTAGGACTCCCAATCCTAAGTTGTCTGAACCATACTTTAAGTCAGAGGCACTCCCTCTGTCTTAGCTTACACTGAACATTTGGCTTATTGCCTTATGTAGATTCTCGGCAGAGGTCCTGACTCTTATCGAGTCATCTGTCATTGAAACTATCCTAGTTTGTAACAACATGTCTATGTGATAAATACCCATTACACAAGCATACCAGTATGGGTGGCTGGGAGTGCTTTTGCTAGGGCTGGCCACCATAGCCCATATTATGGGCATGTACGGTGATGTAATACAGGTGCCATACCCATACCTTTGGGGCTTTAGAGCTCACATTGACAGTTATGGTGTATGGTCATTCAAGTACCATATGACACTGTAAGTTTATGGCCATATGTACCATCATACGGGGCATACAGTTCTACTGTATTATAGCTATGTACCATAGCCTAAAATGATCAATGAATGCCTAACTTAGTACTTAGCTTTTGGTACCATGAGGGATTTCTTTGCATCATGTGACTTGGTGCAGCAGCCACATGCCTTCTTTCGATGTTCAAGATGGTGACCAAGGCCTAGCAACAACTCCAATGCTGCCCATTCTGTCATTTGGTTTCCTCACTGGTAGCCAGTGCTTCAATAGGATGCAAATCATCAACTTACTGGTATGTTTTCTCTCACAATCTACAATCTATCAAGTTCTAATGTTTATTGTTGACACCCAAGGACTGGAGTGCAATCCAGCTTGTCTCACACTGGCTTAAGGCATTTTGTTCAGCCACAACACAAATGTCAACAATGAAGCATTCAATGCTATCATCTACTCAAGCCATTTTCCGTGGTCTGCAGGAGTCTCTATCTGAATTGCCAGATAATACACCGCCTCATCTCAAGAATTTGCTCATCAAGCCACATCGGAAACTGAGTGACTATTACACCAAGTTTGATGAGTCACCATTGTACATATGGTCCTCTTGTAAGCTGTTTCCTTACATCCATCCCAAGGTTCCAACTCATTTATTGACAGTTCTCAATCCCCAAATTTCATATGGAGGTCTTTTGGACAACTGTGGTGATGACCCCACCCTCCAACATCACTTGGAAGGGGCAAAAGATCAGTTGCAACAATACTATCAGGACAACTACCTCGCATTGCAAGCTACTTTGGCTGTTCCCCAACTGGCAGCAGCAGCAGAAATTGTCTCTGGCTCACCACAGAAAGTCAACTTCACAGCCTGATATAAGAAACGGCCAACAAACTTGAAGGACAAGCTGGAGGAGTATTATAGGCTGCCATCAGAAGACTTTGATGCCTGTGACCCCATCCAATGGTGGGCAGGCCGCTGCTCACAGTTCCCAATTCTCTTGTGTTTGGCTCGTGATATTCTTGCTATTCCTGGTAAGTTAAACCTGCTCAAGCTATTGTCTGTAAGTATATTAATCCTCCACACATCATACAGGATCTGCTGTCACTGTTGAGCACATTTTTTTGGGTGGCCATGACACTATTTCTCTTCACCGTGCCAGCCTGCAACCTAACACTATCAGGACTTTGATGTTAGTCAAGCAATGGCTGCACTTAGCTTGTAATGCCATCACAGTAATTGACTGACCCATACCATGGTTGTATTATGTAGCTAGCATGATAACTCGATTTTTGTCATCTCCCATATGTCTGTATAGCTGTCTGTGTACCCATAAAGCGACCCATGTCATACTGTCAAGGGTTTTTAGCAAGCTGTATGTCATATGGTATGATATGGGTGGTACCTGTAAGGCCACCATAACTTGTACGGTCATAACCATATATGGTTATGGCACATATTGCAGTGACCTATCTCCATATTATACAAGTGAACGGATGTGCATAATATCCCATATGATACAGGCCAGTGGACCATGGGCCAAAGGTAAAAATATCCCTGACTATGATGGATGGGCCAGGAGGGATATTATTCCAAATGGAGGTGGGTGGGCCCATGTGGGGGATATGTACAGTAGATGAGTGGGCCAATGGACATGAATATTCTATAGACAGATGGGCCGAGGTAGTTGGATATTATGTAGATGGGTGTACCAATGTAGATGTGTATCAGATAGACAGGTATGCCAAGGGTACTTGTTATCACATACACGGGTGGGCCCAGATGTATATTATATTAGACAGGTGGGCCAAGGGTGTGATATAATATATTATATCAGACAGGTGGGCCGAGGGTGTGATATAATATATTATATTAGACAGGTGGGCTGAGGGCGACAATATATTATATTATATGGGTGGGCCAAGGGTGTGATATAGTGCATTATATTAGATGGGTGGGCTGAGGGCGACAATATATTATATTAGACAGGTGGGCCAAGGGTGGTATATAATATAGATGGGTGGGCCCAGGTGAATGATAATTGTAGACATGACAGAGCTTAGGTAGTTGTATATCATCAATATCAAAGGAGGTAATAATTCAAAGTCAGAGCATGGGAGAGTTCTGGAGGAGTACAGGAAATACTCAGAGGAGTTCCCACTGCACAGGAAGTGGAGAGACCCTAAGGTAATATCTCTATGGGAAACAGGATGGACAGATAGGAGGTCTGGAGGACTGGAGGACTGAACATCTGGAGGACAAGATGCCTGGAGGTACAAGGAACAGGATGTCTGGAGGTCTGGAAGGAATAGGGGCTACATCAGATGAAGTCCAATGTAGAAACAGAGGTAGACTACCCTAAGGTAGAGTTGGAGAGACAGGAATTGGACCTAAGTCCAGAAAGAGGGTAATTGCTGGAAAGGCAAGGCTCTGGCCTAGGGAATCAATCCCTAGGCCTGATGGATAGGACAGAACTTAGGTGGACCAAAGTCTGGGAGAAGATTGGGCAAGTCTAAGTTGATATTCAGACTGAGGACTCTACAAGAGTTGTACAGGGGTTATATACTAGAGGATCAGTAAGCAATGGAGTAAGGCTATGTATGAGCATGTGGAAACATATTAGTAAGTGAGATGGAACATAAGTAAATGAACTCGGAGATGAAACTAGTACAAAGGTCAATCAGGAAGACAGAAACAGAGGCAGCTGAGAACCGGAAGGGGGGATATGCCTAAATAGGGTTACATGCAGAATCTTGGACAGAGGGTGGGAATAGGTCCGGAGATCTGGAAGGCAAGGTGGAAACAGGACTGAGATATGTGAGGTGGTGGATGTAGTCTGGAATCTGAGAGGAGGTAAAGTCCAGATGTCTTGCTGGACAGAATGTGCATATGGTGGACAGGATAGGGTTGTACAGATCAGGCTAGTAGTGAAGATCCAGAGCTCCAGAGCTCAGGGGTAAATCCATAGCAGGGCTAATCCTGCTGAGGTGTGGAGCACACAGTGGAAGGATCTGGGCATGAGTGGGATGTGGGGTCTGGAAATAGGCCTGGGAGGCGTGGGAATATTATGGGATCTAGGTCCGGCATACAGGATATGACAGTATGCAACATGTGAATTTTTCACTACACAAATCACCAAGTATCGAGTGCCAAGACTCAAAACCTGAAACTTGAGAACCAAAAACCAAAAACCAAATCTCAAAGAAATGCATATAACATGAATTTTTTTTATTTCATTACACAATTCACTGAGTGTCGAGTGCTGAAGCCTGAAACCTGAAGCCCAAGACTTGACACCCAAAATTTGAAAACCGAAAACCAAACACCAACTCTTGAAAAAATGCATATAACATGAATTTTTTTTATTTCATTACACAATTCACTGAGTGTCAAGTGCCAAAGCCCGAAACCTGAGACTTGACACCCAAAACTCAAAAACTGAATCTCAAAAAAATGTATATAACATGAAATTTTTTTATTTCATTACACAATTCACCAAGTGTCAGGTGCCGAAACCCAAAACCCAGACATATGTTTTGTAGTACCAGAGACCACTGAAACCTGAAACCTGGTACTGCTGACTTCTGAGTGTTGGGACTCAGGACTTGGTAGTCAATATAGGCAAATGATGATGAAATAATGAAAGTTGTAGTCCAAGTCAAGGTGAGTGTCTTGGTAGTCTTTCCTTGTCAATTGGTTATCATTTGACCAAGATATAAGCTAAAGAAATCCAAAACATCGGCAATAATGAAAAAAATGACAATCATTGTTATGCTTAACTTCCTTAATGAAGGTTGTAGTCCAAGTCTATGTGAGTGTATTGGTGGTCCTACTGAGTGTTGGTACTTGAGACTTGGGAATCAGTACTTGGTACCAAGGAGTCAGTAGTCAGGAACTTGGTACTCAGTTCTGATACTTGGTACCTGGGAATCAGTAGTTTGGTACTCCAGCCAAACAGTTTGCAGTTGATTTTACATGTATTCCCATGAGCCGCAGCACTTGCAGGCATATTACATACATACTTCCAGACCTGGAATTTTGACTAGCATTCCAGATTTCTACATACTTAGTTAAGTACCATGCAGATGCATAGGATACCTTACCATTTACCACCTCTCCTTACCTCTCTAGAGTCTTGGTCACTAGATACTCCTGGTACTTTGGTGTACTTTGGAATATATCTTTTCACTCATTTTCCAGACCCATATTTCAGAGACTTTGTCTCCCCTCATGTTATCACTCCCTCAATAGTCTCTCCTTTGCAAATACCTTGTCTATACCTAGTCCCTTTGCATTCCCTTTGCTTTTCCTTAATTTCCAAACCTCATTTTACTGTACCCTTTCCCTTTCCCGCTCCGGCCAAAGGTTCCCACGCTCTGGCCAACACTTTTTACCTCTGGACTTGTCATTTCTACCTTTGGGTTACCTTTGCATAGCTTCATGTTTATTGATATCATAACTACTAACACTCATCTAGTTGCAGATCCCTCATGTGTCCAACATTCTTGCTTTTGCAGGTGAAGCAGCTAGGCAGATGCAGAACCATATAGAGTAGAGCTGTTTTATTACACTCTGACTTGTTGTATGTTTGTTACATTGGTACTTAGTAGTCAAGACTCAGGAATCAATATTGATGTACTGCTTACTGAGTGTCAGGACTTGGTAGCCAATCCAATTCCCAACTTTATTTGACCCCCTGAAGCACCTTACATCACATGATGTGAGTAGCAACAGACAGAAGACTGCAAGAGATGAAAAATTCAGTCTGAGAACAAATAGACACATTATAATATGTATCTGCGAGAGATGGAAGACTATGGTAAATGTTTGTGATTGCAGTAAGTGAGTGTAAAGATAAAAGAATGAACATCAATGGTGAGACTTGCACATTATGTCGAGATATCTAACATAACAAGCCTGTGATGTGATCAGAGACCTGGAATAACTCCCATATATGTCCATTATAATAGCCCTAAAAGCTTAGAAAGATCCATGAAGGATTGATGTAATGACAGGCAAAAATAACATATGTGTGAAAAGTGACAATAGGCATCTTTTTACACAAAGTCACATTTATGAATGATTCTGGCCAAAGATTTCATGTAGGATAGATTGTAAACTACCTAAGGAACCCATGCTGCCTACTGCCCTGAGGGTAGGGGGTGGGTGGAAGGGATGTAGTGAAAATATGAGTTGACCCAGCATTAAAGTCCTACCACTGCTCAACTGACCATTTTCGATGCTTTGGGTCTTTGAAGTTTCCCACACTCAATTTCTTGTCTATTCCACTTCCTCAGCACTCAATTCTTGGTGGATTTGTCTGTAAATTTATGTCTATGATACTTGATATATTTTAAATATACTCCAGGTTTCTGATTATTAAGATTCAATGTCTTGAAGGTATGGCCCCTTATCAGTAGAAATGGCAAGCATACACACTAGCTCACAACTCCAGCCTATTGTGAGCTGATCTTGGTCATAAGAAGCAAGAATATAAGCTATGCTTGTTATATATTAAAAGATTGGATCATGGATGCAAGGGCAAGATACTGAAAATCGTGAAAAATGTCAAAAGTGCAATTGTCTATGCTTTGTTTCTGGAGAAGGATCATGTGTGTCCTGGGCTGGCTATATGATATATCTACTCCAAATATGCTCAGGAATAGACTCCCTACTGTCCTTGAGGTCTGGTCCTGCAGGGAAAAATACCCAGGGAGTGAACTACCAGGAGAGGGGGAGGTACACTATACAATAAAGGATTACCCTATGGTCCTGAGCTCCTGATACATTGTTTCTATTGCTGAATAGATGATGGGGATATAATTTCAGAGTCTATATTCACCTAAAAATAAACACATAGGAACATCTTTTGTATTTTTATGGATACATGCTATATCCATTTAAGTACCAAATCCCAACACTCGATAGTTGGTAGTCAGTATTCAAGCTCCAAGTGCTAATATCACCTACCAATATGTTCACCTTGACTCAGACTACAACTTTCATTTTTTTCATTATCCCCAATGTTTCAAATTTCTTTAGCATATATCTTGATCAAATGATACCCAATGGACAAGAAAAGACTGCCAATACACTCACCTAGACTCAGACCACAACTTTCATTGTTTTCATTATCCCTGAGGGAGAGTGATTTACCAATATCAACTACCAAGTCTCGACTGCTGAATCCTGAGTACTGAGTCCCAACACTTGGTAGTCATCATTATCACCTTGGCAGTGATATAAGTCCCAAGTCCTGAGAACCCACTATCAAGACCTGAAACCTGAGTTCCAAACCCAACCACTGAATACCAAGGGTCAGTACTCAGGACTTGGGACTGTTGGCTGGAGTACCTGACTACTGATTCCCAGGTACCGAGCATCAGAACTGAGTACTGGGTGCCTGGCTACTGACTCCTGGGTACTGAGTACTGATTCCCAAGTCTCAAGTACCAACACTCAGTAGGACCACCAATACACTTATATAGACTTGGACTAAAACTTTCATTAAGGAAGTGAAGCATAATAATGATTTTCATTTTTTCATTATCACCGATGTTTTGGATTTCTTTAGCTTATATCTTGGTCAAATGATAACCAATTGACAAGGAAAGACTACCAAGACACTCACCTTGACTCAGACAACAACTTTCATTATTTCATCATCATTTGCCTATATTGACTTATCAAGTCCTGAGTCCCAACACTTGGAAGTCAGTAGTACCAGGTTTCAGGTTTCAGGCTTCAGCACTCAACACTCAGTGAATTGTGTAATGAAATAAAAAAAATCATGTTATATACATTTTTTGAGATTTGGTGTTTGGTTTTTGGTTTTTGAATTTCAGGTGTCAAGTCTTGAGTTTTGGGGTTTGGCACTCAACACTCAGTGAATTGTGCAATGAAATAAAAAAATTTCATGTTATATACATTTTTTCAAGATTTGGTGTTTGGTTTTTAGTTTTCCAATTTTGGGTGTCAAGTCTCGAGTTTTGGGCTTCAGGTTTCGGGCCTCGGGTTTTGGTACTCCACACTCAGTGATTTGTGTAATAAAATAAAATAATTTCATGTTATATACATTTTTTCAAGATTTGGTGTTTGGTTTTTGGTTTTTGGTTTTCACACCTCAGGTTTCAAGTCTCGAGTTTCAGGCTTCAGGTTTTGGGCCTCAGGTTTTGGCACTCGACACTCAGTGATTTGTGTAATGAAATAATTTTTTTACATGTTATATACATTTTTGTGAGATTCAAGTTTGGAGTTTTGGGTGTTCGGGTGTTCAGGTTTCAAGACTCAGTGATTTATTGTGAATGAAAAATGGATGTGTTGCACACTGGGTTTTGGGCTTTCAGGCTTTGGTACTTGGTGATTGGTGAATGGCAGACATGGTGTATTCAGGTTTTCAGGCTTTGGGCCTTGGTGGTCGATGGTAGGTATATGCACTCATATAGTGGGTATGTACTCCATGTGCTCAATTCTCTGGTACCTACATCAGCACACTGATTCCTATGTTATCCAACTATCTCAGCCCAGTTATGTTTATTGCACTATTTACCTGGGCCCACCTGTGTATATGATAACAACTACCTGGACCCACCCAACATGAAACTTTGGGTGTCAGCATTTGGTACTTGGCATGGTGAAGAGTTTTGAATTTCAATGTTCAAGTTTCAGGTTTCAGGTGTTGGGTTTTGGTACTTGGTGAATGTCAGACATGGTGTATTCAGGCTTTTGGGTTTCCATGGTCAATGGTAGGTATATGCACTCATATAGGGGTATTATACCAATACCTCGGCCCATATGTCTAAATGATATGTATCTGGGCCCACCCATCTATATGACATCCCCCTATGTTGGCCTACCCATCTATGTAATATACCCTACATCAGCCCACCCATATATATAATACATATTTCACCACCCCATCGGCCCACCTGTCTATGTAATATACCCCCACCTCAGCCCACCCATCTATGTAATATACCCCCACCTTGGCCCACCCATATATATAATACATATTTCACTGCCCCATCGGCCCACCCATCTATCTAATATACCCCCACCTCAGCCCACCTGTCTATATAATAATATCTGCCATACATCTCTCTTCAGCCCAGCTGTCTATAATATATATCTATCCTACTCTACATATTGCCCAGATGGGCCCACCCATCTCCATCAGTAATAATATTTCTTCTGGCCCATCTGCCATCATCAAGGATATACATAACATCGGCCCATAGTCTGCTGGCCTGTCTTATATGGGATATTATGTAGGTTGGGTGACCCATATAATATGGAGTTTGTCACTGAAGGGGCTCATTATGGTGGCCAGCCCTAGCTTTCACCTGAAAGCACCATCACATCAGCATGTGTTTTGGGGTTAATAGTATTGTATTTGCACCTCATATCATAAGTAGTATAATGCACCTGCATTGTCTGGACCGAGTAGAGTGTATTGTTAGGAATGATGACCATGTTGCATTCTTTGTCTGTGAATATGTGATCACAATAACTGATGTCCAATTTCTTTAGCCTATACAAAATGTGATCCTGAAGCTTTGGGATGAAGTTCTGAAGGCCATCATAAGCATCAAACTAAGCCAGAAAGGCAATACTACTTATACCTCAACAACTGGGTCACCATCATTTTCCTGGAGTATTGTGAACAACAAGACTGGATTGCGATAGAATAATGGCCCTTGGACACCAATGGAGCAGGAGAATTGGCTGGAGATCCATCATTTGAGGAGATAGTACCTGCTGCTTCAGCAACTCACCATAACACATGGCATCTGCACTCATGCTTCACTAGCTGTTTTGGAGTGTTCAACTTGCTAGTTATGGGATAGAACACTTTCAAGGCTCTGTGCACCAGTTCTCCCTAGCCAATAACATAGCTTCAGATGCATCCTTGAAGGGTAGAAAAAACGATGCTTACTATCTGTGTAGTGAATGAATCTGTAGTCCCAAATAGTTTGATCATTTGCACATAATCACCCATTGCATGAAACTTATAGGTGCTTAAATTGAACCTTTTGACCCTTGGTCCACTTGATTCAGAGGAAGCATTAGTGAGTCCAGCACATTGGGCGAACCTTTGTTGGTGAGCTGCCTTCTCTTTTGGCAGCTCCACAGTATCAAAAACAGTGCAGGTAAGGTTGCAGAACTTCCATAACTGCCTCAAGAGATTCTTGAACATTTGATCAAGGAATCCAAGGGTTGACTCTGAATGAGTTCTTGGCTTGGCCAGGGCATGCCACTGTGTGAATCTGTATAGAAGAGACTGCACAACCACATCATGAGGAGTGGGAAGCAACCCTTTGAACACAGGTATTGCACACTAAATAAAGGGCATCAGCAAGCTACATAGATAACTTGAATAGTAGAGCAAAGGGGCAAAAACCTGCAGGATGTCTTCAAAGTCCCAAGCGGCCAGTCTTTTCATCTCCAATGTGTCATTTGCAAAGATTCAGATTACCTCATTACTAAAAGTTGGAACTTGACGAAATCTGATATACAATATAATTTGCTTCTTATTATGTGATAGGAACATTAAAAACACACCATGTACCTAGAGTCTAGGATTGCGACTAGCTTCTCTCCCACTGGTAGTGTATAAAGGATCCTGACAAGGTGAGTGAACAGTGCCTTCCAAGTTCCCAACTCACACTCATGCATAAAGTCTACAACAAGCATGCAAAATGGGTCAAGGCCAAGCCCACCAAGCTTCTGGACAAATTTATTCTGCAGGTTGCTTGTCTGAGCCAGTACTACAGAGCAGGTGGTGGAAAAACTTAATAGCACAGGTACCCACAAGCCCTGTCTGAGTGTTTCTTCAACCCTCATACCATCTACAGTATTTCCCCAGTTGTAGATATATTCTCATGCCTTGATAATGTTGGTCTTGATGTAAACCCGAAAATCATTTGCATGGCTCTTCATATCCATAAAAAGGCCTAGAGAAGCAAACATGCTCTTTGGTGTGAGGCATTGCGGGCAGGGGTATGAGCCCATGTCTTTTATAGTAGTGATCAAAACCCTGAGACATGTTGAGTGATACCCCTATTGTTAAAAACAGACTCAGAACGCACTTCTCTGGATAATTGGCCAAGTATGTGAATATACGAGGAAAAATTCAGTGAAGCACTCCATCAGCACATTTTAATATAATACCATGGCAGCATGCACAAATAAACTCTTTATCTAGTAAGATATCCCAGCAGGCGTGAAACAGCTTGCATCAATAGTGGGTGTGAAGGGCAACCATGCCACTTTTCAATATCTGAGGCAAGTTGCTCAGAACATTTTTGATCTTATCCAGCAGCTGATGCACAAACATCAAAGTGACACTTAAAGGTACAGTAGAAAAACTCACCAACAGTAGAAATCCCACAAGGTGACATGCACTGGACTTTGGTGTGGAGTGAGTGTACTTCATCAGATTTCTGAAGTACATATAGAGGGGCCAGGCCTTTGCAGTTCCAAAATCTGCAAGATGTGTGGCATCCAAGAAAAACATGAGACCAGCAACCACCCATTCCAGTGTGCATCTGGGCTCCCTTGGGAGCTTCTGCACCTCATCTTGGGTGTCCAGCCATGAGTCAGAAGTATAGAGCTCGTTGTAAATACGCTCTTGGTGATTATCCAATGGGTCCTTCCATAGATGCTTGAAAGGGGAAAGATGAAATGCACCTGCTTGGATGTCCATGAAAGCCAACCGAATCACTTTGATGAGGGGGCAAAAATGTAACCCTGAAATGGAAAAAGGTCTAGCTTCATCCTCCCTCAATTTCATTGGAATCCAGATAGTGACACTAGCCTGCATCCAGTCATACAGAAATTCAATTTTATTTCCTTTGGGGTCATTGTCCATCTCTTGTAAGCTCTTCCTCACTGAGAAGTCTTCTAGGTGCTTTGTGTTAAAATCCTCCTGTAGCAATACCCCCTTGATGAGATGAGCAATTTCAGTCTCAGATTTCTGGTTGCTGCCAGAATTCATCCAAGACATGAGTTGATAAATCATCATGTTAGGGAAAGGATAGGGAGCACATATTGCAGTGACCTATCTCCATATTATGTGAGTGAACAGACATGCATAATATCCCATATGATATGGGCCAGTGGACCATGGGCCGAAGGTAAAAATATCCCTGACTATGACAGATGGGCTGGGAGGGATATTATTTCTGATGGGGATGGGTGGGCCCATCTATGCCAATGTTATAAATATCCTCGACAATGGCAGATGGGCCAGGAGAAATATTATTACTGATGGAGATGGGTGGGCCCATCTGGGCAATATGCAGAGTAGGATAGACATATATGATAGACAGCTGGGCTGAAGAGAGATGTATGGCAGATATTATTATATAGATGGGTGGGCCAATGGGGCGGTGAAATATTTATTATATATATGGGTGGGCTGAGGTGGGGGTATATTAGATAGACAGGTGGGCCGATGGGGCAGTGAAATATGTATTATATAGATGGGTGGGCTGACATAGGGATATATTACATAGATGGGTGGGCTAACATAGGGTCATATAGACAGGTGGGCCCAGATACATATCATTTAGATGTATGGGCCAAGGTATTGGTATACTATATGGACATATGAGCAATGCTGTTGCACTAGTTTTGATCCGAGTCATCAATGACATTCAGACTCAGATCCTGTCAACGTCAATCAAAGTCAACACAGCCAAGTGCCCTGTTGACTCGAAATACAGTGATACCTCAGAAGATGGTCCATAGATGTAAGAGCCAAGGTATTTGTACAGCCAAGCACCCTGTCGACTCGGAATCCAGCAATACCTTGGAAGACGGTCCATAGATGTAAGGGCCAAGGTATTTGTATACAATATGGACATATAGGCTGAGATAGTGATATATATTATATTGATGGGTGGGGCAAGGTAGTTATTATCACACATAAACATAAACCTGACACCTGAAACCTGCAACTCGAAACTTGAACATCAAAACAAATTTCAAAACTCAAATCACTGAGTACAGTGTACTACTGGTACCTTTCACACCACTGGTGCATTTCACACTTGTGCTAAAACTTCATCAATTATTATTATTTTGTCCTGCCACTTGAGCCATGCATTAAGAAGCATGTATAGAAGTATAATACAAAATTACAAAGAGATATGTAAAGTGTGTAAAAGCTGGGGATGGATTCAGTCAAAGAAATGGTACAGTTGTGCTGAGAAACAACTTTTGTACCAGGCCCAGCGCAATGAATTCACCGAAAATCGCCTGTATATGTAGCATCATTTTAATCAGCCAGGTATCCTGCACAAAATATCTCTACAGAAGGGAGTGATTGGGTTGAAATTCCATGTTGCAAAAGGCATTTTGTGCAAAACCTGTTTCAAGTGTGACAATGCATGACAGCTCACATCAAAGACATGTCGTGCGTCTGGTATGCTTCAATTCTTATAGCCCACACCCTACTTCTATCACCACATAAACTAATTTACCGACTCTAATGGTATTTCATGCCTTGTCGGATCATGTCAAGCGGATCAAGCAGCTGTGCACACAGAGCAACATATTAGTGCAGGCAGTTCATGCATATTGTGTTGAGCAAGCTCAGCCAACAGGAGAGAAGAGAAAGGGTGTTCGGACAATTGCAGAAGAATTTGGTATTCCTAAGCAGTACAAGACTATACTCAATCATGCTACAGGCAAAACTCAGCCCCTCTCAGAGCACATGACTTCAAAACAGAAGATATTAGCTGCCAAGGAGCATATTATGGTCCACTTCCTACTCGAGTCAGCTAAATGAGGCTTTCCCCTCAGTCATGAACAGATTGAGAACTATACCAACACAATTATTAAGAGGCAGAAAGGAGAGAGCTTCGAGCCTGCAAAGGACAAAGTTGGACATCAGTGGGTTTTTTGGTTCCTCAACCATCACCACAATAAGCTACAGACACACTGGGGAAAGGGCCTTGATACTCAATGAGCCAAGGCCTTAAACCCTTCAAATGTCAATCACTGGTTTTCATTAGTCAAGGAACACATAGTCAACAAGGGCATCCAACCTGAAGACATCTATGGCATGGACAAGAGTGGCTTCCTGTTGACAAACACTTAGTCATGTCGTTGTGTCGGGGCACGAGGAGCCAAGCTACAGCACACTGCAGGATCTGCAGATCGGGAGAATGTGACAGGGATTGTCACGATCTGTGCTGATGGCACTGCTCTCTGCCCGACAATCATCTTCAAAGGTCAAAACTTCATGCAGAAGTGGGGGGACAATAATGTTGCCCATGCCTCGTGAGTCTCAATTGACAACTGCCCTACAGCTCACTGAATTTCGGACAAGTCTCTGTCATTCACCCAATGGGTGGACTGATGGTGAATTGTGCCTGGATTGGATGATCAATGACTTCAATCCACAAACAAAAGAGAAAGCTAGCAGACGAGCTTGTGTGCTCCTCATGGATGGACATAGCTCACATTTCACACCTGAGCTCCTCGAGTATGCGATGGACAACAATATCACCATCCTCAGATACCTGCCACACTGTACTCATGCCCTGCAGGGCCTTGATGTTGTGTGCTTTGCGAGGATGAAAGCTAGCTTTAATGAAGAAGTCAGTGCATTTGAAGAAACCCGACGACGTGGTATCAAGAAGGCAGACTTCACAGGCACATTCAGACGTGCATTTGTCTGTGCATTTACTCTGGACCTTGTTAAAACAGCATTCTGTGTCACCAGTATCTGCCCATTTGACCGAAATGTCATCACAGCTGATCAAATGAAGCCAAGCAAGGAGAGTTCCACTTGTAGCACATTTCCACTGCCCTATTCAAGCCTGACATGAGCAGTCCTAGCTGCATTCACAAATTATCAGCCAACATCACTTGAATTATCCCCAAACACACACAAAGACACTCAACCTATTGCAGGACCATCTCAATTCCCTGGAAGCCATGAATCACTAAGCTCAGCAGTTGCGACAAAACCAAATACCCCAGATTCGCCATCCCGTCATCACTATGACAGCAAAATCACTGATACCCCCTCAAAATGTATGTGCCTGATGACAGCTTCGCTCTCACAAACATCATCTTCATTCCTTGTATCAAAGACATGGATGTCAAAAGGTCAGTTGATCCCCGCACCAGTGTTCAAGAAACCACCAGTACTACCAGAGCCAGATTGGAGCTTGTTGATTGCAAAACAAGCTTCAGGAGACAAGATGAGAGATATTGAGCACTGGAAAACTCATTGCCTGGACCTCGAGGAGGCTCTCCGGCACGCAAAACACCAACTTGCTACACGTGAACAAATCAATGCAGGCCAGAATGCACAGATCATAATTCAAGATCTTACCTTACGAAAACTCAATGAGACCCTCAACACAGGTGACAAGAAAGACACAGATCGAGTCAAACTGTATCCAAAGGGGAATGGGCGTCATATGACAGAACACTGGTTTATTGATGAATTGAAGGAGGATCATGCCAAGCGTGCCAAAAAAGTGGAAGTGAGAAAACAAAGAAAAGCAGCAAGAGATGTGAGGTGTGGCGAGGGTGTTGAGCTGGTGACACAGTGGAATGAGATCAAGGAGAAACATGCAGCAGCTGTGAGGGACTGGCAGGTCAAGTGCGAGCACTTGAATGTAGAGGGTGTGAGAAAGAAAGATTGGCCAAAGAAACCAAAATGGCCACTAAAGCCCAAGCGAGCACCACAGCAGGCAGTTGAAGCAGATTGTGATGATGAAAATGGTTCAGGGCTGGTGGCTGAGGGTGTTGACAAGCAAGAACATGGTAGTTCTAGTAGCGAGTCCTCTGATGAAGAGAATGTGTGAGCCAGGTGCGAAATGTTGGTCACACTGTGAAACATACCGCATTTGTGTGACATTTGAGCACTTGATATTTTAAATCATCAAGCATGTTCAACATTGCGAAAAAAAATAAAACATTGCATTGGTAGTACTATTTAGATGCCTAATACTAATTCTGGGTACTCAAATTGTTTAAAACAGTAGTTTACATGCCTTGACTTGACAAGTGTGAATGTGGTGTGAAAGGTACCAGTAGTACACTGTACTGAGTCCCAAAGCCCAAACATTGAAACCTGAAACTCAAAAGTCATAAAAATGTATGAGTTTCATAGGTAGTTGTATATCATCCAAATCAAAGGAGGTAATAATTCAAAGTCATCTAATGATGAAGGTCACAAGTGCCAGAAAATTGAGCACCCAGTACAGACATGAACATGCAGCACCAACCACTGAACATTGAGTGAAGGGTACCGAGATCTGAGGCCTGGGTCTTGACAAACAAATATCTGATATCCAGCACACTTCCAATCATCTGGTATTTCATTTAGCAATGAATGATAACACATCTTTGGAAAATAACATCATGTGAGGCTCCCTTATCTGATCCTCACTATCTCCACCCCCTTTAACTCCAAAGTGTGGACATGTAGGATTCGGCATCCAATTTTCCAAGATCAATTCCATCATGACTGTTTCTTCCATTTCCGATATTGAAATAATCCTCTGGTGCACTTGGGCCCTGACTGTCACTCACAAGGCATGTGAATATACTGAATGGAAATTCAATGTAGAGAAGACAGGAGGAGACCCAGTTATACCTTCTCCAAACCTAGACATTGATCTGGTGATGGCTTGTGATCAATTGGTTGATCACCTGATAAAGGCATATAAAAATCCCAGTGGGTCTTCCTGCAGATTCAGAAAATTGGTTTTATCAGTCAAATTGCTTCATCACAGTTCAGATGCAGATCAATGTTGCAAGATATAGCAAATTGATCTCCCTGAAGGACACCAGGCATAATGAAGAGAGAGAGGAGAAGTTGCTTGAGAGGTGTCCTCCTGGCCATGAGGGCACAAAGTTGGTTGAGATACCTGCCACAATTCTTGATGCATCCAGTGCCATCATCGCATGGTATGTCCCAGACACCCCAACCAATGCCACCCAGGTGTGTAATATATATTGTTACTCAATGGATATTGAGCATCAAATGTTGCCTACAGAAGGAAATTTGGGTGGCCTCTGATTTGCTCACTCCAATCCTCAAAAAAAGTGTCAAGCTTGATAGCAATTGGCGAACTAATCAAGAGTGGTTCAAACCAAGCTCAGAAAATGATGTCTTAACTCCTGGATGCATCAATTTGTCTCTGGCATGGTTTCAACAGGGGCATGAGGTAGGATCTGATGAGATGGTTATTCTGGTAGTTGAACTCACAAATCCCCTAGAATCTGTCGGATCTGGAGGCATCTGCATCACTGAAGGGGGCATCCTCTGAGAAGATCCTCAAAGCCATTGCAAGGCCAGCAGCCATTGCAACAGTGGCACTCAGGGTGATGCATCCTGAGCAGTACTGGGCAGGTTTGTGAGCCTTTTCAAGCCTTGGAGAAAAGGCAGAAAGCAAGGAACTGCCAAAGATGTCAGAGACTCTCCAGTACTGGGCATCTGTATTTAACAGCCTGTCTGTCATTTCCAATCGGGAAACCCCCAATCATTGAGACCATTTATCTATTCCTGAATGCTTCAACATTCTCACTACCATGGGGAATTATTCTAATGCTTGGATGAGTATGCCAAGCCTTCAGCTGGAGTTCAGGTACAATCTGGGTTGCATGATTGTGTTTTCCAGAAGGATCATGAGACATGGGGTTCATGCAGTGAAAGGGGATTGGATTGCTTGGGCATGGCATATGAGGGATTCCATTCATGTTTATGCTGGGGTTCTGTCATGTGGATGGGCTAGGGTGGATTACAAACAGTGAAAGATCAAACAAGTAGAAAGTGTATTTACCCATGTTAGTACATACTGTCAAATACCAGATATTAGATCTCTGGATCTCAAATATTTGGGCCTTGATATCTGGATCTTGATACTTGCTATATTCAGGATTTGATATTCAGAACTCAATATTCGACATTCAGTGCTCAATGCTCAATATTCAATACTAAATACTCAATAGTAGACATTCAGAACTCAATATTCAGAATTCAACATTCTATAGTCAGGTCTTGAATATTGACACCCAACTATCAAATACCAAATACCAAATACCAAGTCCCTAATATTGAATATTGAGTCCCAAATATCAACACCCAAATATCGAGTCCCAACTATTGACACCTGAATCTTGAATATCGACACCCAACTATTGAGTATTGAATATCAAAACCTGACTCAATAGTCAGGTCTTCATATTCAGGTGTCGATATTCTGGACTCAATATTTGATATTAGGGACTCAGTATTTGGTATTTTGTCATATCCCATATGCCAGACATAGATCCCATTATATTCCCACGCTTTCCGGACCTATTTCCGGACCCCATATCCAACTCATTCCCAGATCCCCTTCCACTGTGTGCTCCATATCTAAGCAGGATTAGATCTGCTATGGAATTACCCCTGAGCTCCAGACCTCTGGATCTTTACTACTAGCCTGATATGTACACCCCTATCCTGTCCACCCTATGCACATTCCATCCAGCAAGACATCTGGACTTTACCTCCTCTCAGATTCTGGACTACATCCACCACCTCACATATCTCAGTCCTGTTTCCGCCCTGCCTTCTGGATTCCCAGATCTCCGGACCTATTCCCACCCTCCGTCCAAGATCCCACGCCTATCTCCATTTAGACATCTCCGCCTTTCCAGTTCTCGGTTATCTCTGTTTCTGTCTTGCTGATTGATCCTTGTACTAGTTTCATCTCTGAGTTCATTTACTTATGTTCCGTCTTACTTACCAATGTGTTTCCACATGTTCATACATAGCCTTACTCTGTTGCTTACTGATCCTCTTGGATATCCTCTAGTATATAACCCCTGTACAACTCCTGTAGAGTCCTCAGTCTGAATATCACCTTAGAATTGCCCAATCTTCTTCTGGACTTCAGTCCATCTGAGTTTGTCCTTTTCCATAAGGCCTAGGGATGGATTCCCTAGGCCTGAATTCTGGACCTTTGGATTTGTCCCCTATGTCTCTGTCCCAAGTCTAGAGATTGCTTCCCTAGGCTGGAGTCTTGCCTTTCTGGCACTTACCCTCTCTCCAGACTTTGGTCCACTTCCTGTCTCTCTGACTCTACCTAAGGGTAGTCTGCCTCTGTTTGCTTCTACATCAGACTTTGTCTGATGTAGCCCCTATTCCTTCCAGACCTCCAGACCTCCTGTCTTCTGTACCTCCAGATGTTCTGCCCTCCATACCTTTGGACGTCCCATCCTCCATACCCTCGGACATCCTGCCCTCCATACCTCCATGTCCTGTCCTGAGTACCTCCAGATATCTTGTCCTCCAGACCTCCTATCCTTCCATCCTGTTTCCTGTAGAAGTGTTACCTTGCAGTGGGAACTCTCCCACACTCCTCCAGACATTTCCCACACTCCTCCGGAAGTCCTCTAGCACTCTCCACCAAAGTAGCCAGTCTCCAGAAGTCCTTCAGACTTCATCGGACCATCATCAGACTTCCTCTGAAATGAAGGGCACATACTCAGGTAAGGGGCACAGCGTACGAGCTGAGGCCAAGCCCCTCTGAGTCAGTCTCTCTCTCCCTTGAGCATGGTTCTTAACATATTTGGTATTTGGTATTTGGTATTCAATAGTTGGGTGTCGATATTCAAGATTTGGGTGTTGAAATTCAGGACTTGATATTTGGTATTTGGTATTTGATAGTCATGTCTCAATATCTGAATCTCAATACTTGATACTCAATATTCACCATTCAGGTCTCAATATTCGGGACTCCACACTTGCAACTTGATATACTGGGTCTTGACATTCAATTCTCAATACTTGAATGTCGAGACCTGAATCTCAAATATCAAGAGCTGACTATCAAGGAATTCGACATTTGATATTTGGGTCTCGACATTTTGAACTCAGTATTTGGAACTTGGAACTTGGTATTCAGAACTCGGTATGTGGCACTTGGTATTTGGTATTTGATAGTTGGGTCTCACTATTTGGTATTTGGTATTCGATAGTCTGGTCTTGATATTTGGGACTCAATATTTGGAACTTGGTATTCAATGGTCAGGTCTTGAGATTTGGTAGTCCATGTTCAGGACTTGGTATTTGGAACTCAGTACTTGATGTTTGGGACTTGGTATTGGGGACTTGATATTTGATAGTTGGGTCTTGATATTTGAATCTCAATACTCAATACTCAACATTCAAGATTTGGGTCTCAAGATTCGGGAGTCCACATTCACAACATGATATATGATTGTCTGGACTCGATACTTGATATTCAGTATTCAGGACTTGGCACATAATGTTAGGTTAGATATTTGGAAGACGGTATGTCATTTTCATGGAGTTTGGACATCAACATTCTGAACTCAAGGACTAGCACTACTCTCCTCTGCCTCTCTTCAATCTGGTTAGGATGCTGGTGTACACTTCAATCTCTGCCATTTTTCACTGATACCCTCTTCTTGCTCCTCAACCAATGTCTGGAGGCGTTCTCTAAGCCACCTCAGTCCCATCAGTGATGGAACCGAGGTGTTATCCACCTGCTCAGGAAGAATCAGACCATTGTCCTCAACACCACCCTAGAACAGATTAATCATCACTCAAGGAAATTGTTCATAGTTCTTACTAGCCAATGCTGGTAGTGAAAGACACAGCAACCCATTACCTGGTCCCATTGCCATAATTCATCCAGGATTGCAGTGTGTCTGATCCACCATGGAGTATCATAGCCAGATATAATCCTGGAGGGATCTCCTGGATCTGCAACATCATGAAAGAGACATAAGTGGGATGAAAAGATGTGGTCCGGAACCGTGTTCCAGGTGAGCTGGGGAAACAACTGAAGAATATGAGCGACCAGGTTTGGAATAACTGAGATGATGTGCCTTGCAGCTGAGTACTGCAGAATGGGTGTCACAAAAATCTGTTGGAAATCTCAGCATTGACCACCGCAGTCATCAGTCTCTTACAGCGATCTCCCATTGCAGCCTGGCTTTGAAGTGCATGATCCAAGCAGCAGAAGGCTCCTCGGTGTTGGCAGCCTCTGTCTGATATTGGGAGATCAATGCTTGGATGTGTGATGCAGCCATTGACATTGTGGCTGCAGTATCTGCAAGACCGAGTGTGAGGGTCAGTATTCATTGCTGGAATCCATGGCATCAGAAGGGGATGCAGGAGGAGTTTGCAATACAGGCATGGCTAATGCAGGAGTATGATGCTGGAAATCACAATCACAATGACAGTTGGTTCAGATGTGAAGATATGAGCCACCAGTTGATGGATAAAAATTTTCAAACTCCAATGTTGGTTGATCCAGGCATTTCCTGAGACTAAAATGTTTGGGTTGAAGTAGCTGTTTCATATCATTGGCAAAAAAGTTCATTCATCTTCAGCAGCTATGAACCTGCTCTGCAGGTCTTGAAATGCTGCCTGGGCATTCTGTGTCAGTAATGAATACATTTGGGATTGCCTTCCCAAGTAGCATGAATGACCCGGAAGGTGTTTCACCAATGATTCCTGCATCCTGTCACCCCATTGGGTTGCTTTCCACAAGAAAAAGTTACATGTCCAATCCATCTCCAATTGGACCAATGTCATTTCTTCCTTCCATCAATCCCATAGGGCCTTTGCCCGAAGCCAATGAACTCAGTAAACTTCAGATGGGTCCCATCAGCTGAGCATGGGATACATCAAGCATGCCTGAACTCACATTCCTCATTCCACGAGTGATCTGGACTCCCCAGGTCCACATCGATGAACCAGAACCAAGTGAGGGACTTGTTCTGCTGACCTTGGGCATTTGGATCACTCATGGCAGTGCTGATTTTGAGCTGCTCCCAAAGCAGTGGTTTGTATTTCTGAAGCTGGTCTTGCCTCAGCTCAAGTTGCATCATTTGCTTCCAGGTCTTTGTATATATACTGGCATGGAGGGACACTGCCTACTGCACCAACATCACCTGGGACCAAGCTTGAGTTTTCAGGGCTTGAGATTTGGCCTGCCTGACCGTTGTTTGGAACAGGATCACCTTGTTGCACAAGTGAATCCGGAGGTTGTGAAGGGCATCATTGGCCTGCCCTTCATGAAGTGACATCTCCAGCGGAATCAGATTCTCTGCCATACAGTGTCTGCTTCAATCTACCCTGAGGTTTGATGGCAATGGGATAACAGTGAGCTCGGGGGAGTTTGCCCATGTATCAGATGTGTCAGTGAAATCTGCTTGGTCATTGTTGAGATCATCAAGAATGTCTACATTCAAGTCATCAGGATCGTCATCTGCATCAAATCCCTCTCCTAGATGTGTAAGAGCAGACTGAGTGAATCCATCTATCTGGCCTTGGAGATGATCACGTTGCTGGGTGATGTCTAATCTCTGTGTCTCTGTAGTTCTTCTTCCAATTCTTCAGAGCTTGACAACCAATGCAATTTGAGCCTCTTCAATTGCCAACCCCATTGATATCCATGTTGCCACTGATCTGCGAGCAGGTGCTGCATTACGGGCATTACCCTCCTCTAGCAGTCTAAGCTTGATCTCCTTTTTGCTTGGTGCTGAGTGCAACAATTAAGTCTGACTTCGATGTAGCCAAAGTCAACTTACCCTTCTTGATATTAATCTCATATACATCCATCACTGCAGGATCATTTATTCTGCTGGACTGAGTGATCCTCTCACTGGCTAACCATTCTTTGAAGCTGTGGGTGCTGCTTCATCAAGTCTGTCAAAAGCCTTTTCACTTTCGGCGATGCCATTCTTTGCCTGCTTGTATTTATGACAAAGAGTCCTTTTCATGCGGATCA